TACTGCCGATGAGATGCTGAAGGCCGAAACCGCTCCACGCCTTTAAATCACCCGGGGAACAGTTCACATAGCGATGACTCAAAACGGAAGCGAGACTCTACTGCTGCTGATGAGCCGCTGAACGCCGAAACCGCTCCACGCCTTTCAATCACCCGAGGAACAGTTCACATAGCGATGACTCAAAACGGAAGCGAGACTCTACTGCTGCTGATGAGCCGCTGACTGCCAAAACCGCTCCACGCCTTTCAATCACCCGGGGAACAGTTCACATAGCGATGACTCAAAACGGAAGCGAGACTCTACTGCTGCTGATGAGCCGCTGACCGCCGAAACCGCTCCACGCCTACAATCACCCGGGGAACAGTTCACATAGCGATGACTCAAAACAGAAGCGAGACTCTTACTGCCGATGAGATGCTGAAGGCCGAAACCCCTCCACGCCTTTCAATCACCCGGGGGACAGTTCACATAGCGATGACTCAAAACAGAAGCGAGACTCTTACTGCCGATGAGATGCTGAAGGCCGAAACCGCTCCACGCCTTTCAATCACCCGGGGAACAGTTCACATAGCGATGACTCAAAACGGAAGCGAGACTCTACTGCTGCTGATGAGCCGCTGACTGCCGAAACCGCTCCACGCCTTTCAATCACCCGGGGAACAGTTCACATAGCGATGACTCAAAACGGAAGCGAGACTCTATTGCTGCTGATGAGCCGCTGACCGCCGAAACCGCTCCACGCCTTTCAATCACCCGGGGAACAGTTCACATAGCGATGACTCAAAACAGAAGCGAGACTCTACTGCTGATGAGCCGCTGACTGCCGAAACCGCTCCACGCCTTTCAATCACCCGGGGAACAGTTCACATAGCGATGACTCAAAACAGAAGCGAGACTCTACTGCTGATGAGAAGCTGAACGCCGAAACCGCTCCACGCCTTTCAATCACCCGGGGAACAGTTCACATAGCGATGACTCAAAACAGAAGCGAGACTCTACTGCTGCTGATGAGCCGCTGAAGGCCGAAACCGCTCCACGCCTTTCAATCACCCGGGGAACAGTTCACATAGCGATGACTCAAAACAGAAGCGAGACTCTTACTGCCGATGAGCCGCTGAACGCCGAAACCGCTCCACGCCTTTCAATCACCCAGGGGAGAGTTCACATAGCGATGACTCAAAACGGAAGCGAGACTCTTACTGCCGATGAGAAGCTGACCATCGAAACCGCTCCACGCCTTTCAATCACCCGGGGGAACAGTTCACATAGCGATGACTCAAAACAGAAGCGAGACTCTTACTGCCGATGAGATGCTGAAGGCCGAAACCCCTCCACGCCTTTCAATCACCCGGGGGACAGTTCACATAGCGATGACTCAAAACAGAAGCGAGACTCTTACTGCCGATGAGATGCTGAAGGTCGAAACCGCTCCACGCCTTTCAATCACCCGGGGAACAGTTCACATAGCGATGACTCAAAACGGAAGCGAGACTCTTACTGCCGATGAGAAGCTGACCGTCGAAACCGCTCCACGCCTTTCAATCACCGGGGGAACAGTTCACATAGCGATGACTCAAAACGGAAGCGAGACTCTACTGCTGCTGATGAGCCGCTGAAGGCCGAAACCGCTCCACGCCTTTCAATCACCCGGGGGAGCAGTTCACATAGCGATGACTCAAAACAGAAGCAAGACTCTACTGCCGATGAGCCGCTGAACGCCGAAACCGCTCCACGCCTACAATCACCGGGGGAACAGTTCACATAGCGATGACTCAAAACGGAAGCAAAACTCTACTGCTGATGAGCCACTGAACGCCGAAACCGCTCCACGCCTTTCAATCACCCGGGGAACAGTTCACATAGCGATGACTCAAAACAGAAGCGAGACTCTACTGCTGCTGATGAGATGCTGAAGGCCGAAACCGCTCCACGCCTTTCAATCACCCGGGGGAACAGTTCACATAGCGATGACTCAAAACAGAAGCGAGACTCTACTGCCGATGAGCCGCTGAACGCCGAAACCGCTCCACGCCTACAATCACCGGGGGAACAGTTCACATAGCGATGACTCAAAACGGAAGCAAAACTCTACTGCTGATGAGCCACTGAACGCCGAAACCGCTCCACGCCTTTCAATCACCCGGGGAACAGTTCACATAGCGATGACTCAAAACAGAAGCGAGACTCTACTGCTGCTGATGAGCCGCTGAACGCCGAAACCGCTCCACGCCTTTCAATCACCCGGGGAACAGTTCACATAGCGATGACTCAAAACGGAAGCGAGACTCTACTGCTGATGAGAAGCTGACCGCCGAAACCGCTCCACGCCTTTCAATCACCCGGGGGACAGCTCACATAGCGATGACTCAAAACAGAAGCGAGACTCTTACTGCTGATGAGATGCTGAAGGCCGAAACCGCTCCACGCCTTTCAATCACCCGGGGGAACAGTTCACATAGCGATGACTCAAAACAGAAGCGAGACTCTACTGCCGATGAGCCGCTGAACGCCGAAACCGCTCCACGCCTACAATCACCGGGGGAACAGTTCACATAGCGATGACTCAAAACGGAAGCGAGACTCTACTGCTGCTGATGAGCCGCTGAAGGCCGAAACCGCTCCACGCCTTTCAATCACCCGGGGAACAGTTCACATAGCGATGACTCAAAACGGAAGCGAGACTCTACTGCTGCTGATGAGCCGCTGAACGCCGAAACCGCTCCACGCCTTTCAATCACCGGGGGAACAGTTCACATAGCGATGACTCAAAACGGAAGCGAGACTCTTACTGCCGATGAGCCACTGAATGCCGAAACCGCTCCACGCCTTTTAATCACCCGGGGAACAGTTCACATAGCGATGACTCAAAACGGAAGCGAGACTCTACTGCTGCTGATGAGACGCTGAAGGCCGAAACCGCTCCACGCCTTTCAATCACCCAGGGGAACAGTTCACATAGCGATGACTCAAAACGGAAGCGAGACTCTACTGCTGCCGATGAGCCGCTGAACGCCGAAACCGCTCCACGCCTTTCAATCACCCGGGGAACAGTTCACATAGCGATGACTCAAAACGGAAGCGAGACTCTTACTGCCGATGAGCCGCTGAACGCCGAAACCGCTCCACGCCTTTCAATCACCCGGGGAACAGTTCACATAGCGATGACTCAAAACGGAAGCGAGACTCTTACTGCCGATGAGAAGCTGACCGTCGAAACCGCTCCACGCCTTTCAATCACCCGGGGGACAGTTCACATAGCGATGACTCAAAACAGAAGCGAGACTCTACTGCTGCTGATGAGACGCTGACTACCGAAACCGCTCCACGCCTTTCAATCACCCGGGGAACAGTTCACATAGCGATGACTCAAAACAGAAGCGAGACTCTGCTGCTGCTGATGAGCCGCTGACCGCCGAAACCGCTCCACGCCTTTCAATCACCCGGGGGAACAGTTCACATAGCGATGACTCAAAACAGAAGCGAGACTCTACTGCTGCTGATGAGCCGCTGAACGCCGAAACCGCTCCACGCCTTTCAATCACCCGGGGAACAGTTCACATAGCGATGACTCAAAACAGAAGCGAGACTCTACTGCTGCTGATGAGCCGCTGACCGCCGAAACCGCTCCACGCCTTTCAATCACCCGAAGAACAGTTCACATAGCGATGACTCAAAACGGAAGCGAGACTCTTACTGCCGATGAGAAGCTGACCGTCGAAACCGCTCCACGCCTTTCAATCACCCGGGGGAACAGTTCACATAGCGATGACCCAAAACGGAAGCGAGACTCTAATGCTGCTGATGAGCCGCTGACTGCCGAAACCGCTCCACGCCCACAATCACCGGGGGAACAGTTCACATAGCGATGACTCAAAACAGAAGCGAGACTCTTACTGCTGATGAGACGCTGAAGGCCGAAACCGTTCCACGCCTTTCAATCACCCGGGGGACAGTTCACATAGCGATGACTCAAAACAGAAGCGAGACTCTACTGCTGATGAGCCGCTGACTGCCGAAACCGCTCCATGCCCACAATCACCCGGGGAACAGTTCACATAGCGATGACTCAAAACGGAAGCGAGACTCTTACTGCCGATGAGCCGCTGAATGCCAAAACCGCTCCACGCCTTTCAATCACCGGGGGAACAGTTCACATAGCGATGACTCAAAACGGAAGCGAGACTCTACTGCTGCTGATGAGCCGCTGCACGCCGAAACCGCTCCACGCCTTTCAATCACCCAGGGGAGAGTTCACATAGCGATGACTCAAAACGGAAGCGAGACTCTTACTGCCGATGAGAAGCTGACCGTCGAAACCGCTCCACGCCTTTCAATCACCCGGGGGAACAGTTCACATAGCGATGACTCAAAACAGAAGCGAGACTCTTACTGCCGATGAGATGCTGAAGGCCGAAACCGCCCCACGCCTTTCAATCACCCGGGGAACAGTTCACATAGCGATGACTCAAAACAGAAGTGAGACTCTTACTGCCGATGAGATGCTGAAGGCCGAAACCGCTCCACGCCTTTCAATCACCCGGGGGACAGTTCACATAGCGATGACTCAAAACAGAAGCGAGACTCTTACTGCCGATGAGATGCTGAAGGCCGAAACCGCTCCACGCCTTTCAATCACCCGGGGAACAGTTCACATAGCGATGACTCAAAACAGAAGCGAGACTCTACTGCTGCTGATGAGCCGCTGACCGCCGAAACCGCTCCATGCTTTTCAATCACCGGGGGAACAGTTCACATAGCGATGACTCAAAACGGAAGCGAGACTCTTAGTGCTGCTGATGAGCCGCTGCACGCCGAAACTGCTCCATGCCTTTCAATCACCCGGGGGAATAGTTCACATAGCGATGACTCAAAACAGAAGCGAGACTCTACTGCTGCTGATGAGCCGCTGAACGCCGAAACCGCTCCACGCCTTTCAATCACCCGGGGGAACAGTTCACATAGCGATGACTCAAAACGGAAGCGAGACTCTTACTGCCGCCGATGAGCCGCTGACCGCCGAAACCGCTCCACGCCTTTCAATCACCCGGGGGAACAGTTCACATAGCGATGACTCAAAACGGAAGCGAGACTCTTACTGCCGCCGATGAGCCGCTGAACGCCGAAACCGCTCCACGCCTTTCAATCACCCGGGGGAACAGTTCACATAGCGATGACTCAAAACGGAAGCGAGACTCTACTGCTGCTGATGAGCCGCTGACTGCCGAAACCGCTCCACGCCTTTCAATCACCCGGGGAACAGTTCACATAGCGATGACTCAAAACGGAAGCGAGACTCTACTGCTGCTGATGAGCCGCTGACCGCCGAAACCGCTCCACGCCTTTCAATCACCCGGGGGAACAGTTCACATAGCGATGACTCAAAACAGAAGCGAGACTCTACTGCTGCTGATGAGCCGCTGCACGCCGAAACCGCTCCACGCCTTTCAATCACCCGGGGGAACAGTTCACATAGCGATGACTCAAAACGGAAGCGAGACTCTTACTGCCGCCGATGAGCCGCTGAACGCCGAAACCGCTCCACGCCTTTCAATCACCCGGGGGAACAGTTCACATAGCGATGACTCAAAACGGAAGCGAGACTCTTACTGCCGCCGATGAGCCGCTGACTGCCGAAACCGCTCCACGCCTTTCAATCACCCGGGGGAACAGTTCACATAGCGATGACTCAAAACGGAAGCGAGACTCTTACTGCCGCCGATGAGCCGCTGACCGCCGAAACCGCTCCACGCCTTTCAATCACCCGGGGGAACAGTTCACATAGCGATGACTCAAAACGGAAGCGAGACTCTTACTGCCGCCGATGAGCCGCTGACCGCCGAAACCGCTCCACGCCTACAAACACCGCTTCAAACCGAGCCTGACTCTGCCGACGCCGACGCCGCCGACGCCGCCGCCGCCGCCGATGACGCCGACAGGCCGGGCCGCACCGTGGCAGAGGACGGGCGGCAGCCCGATGCACAGCAGGTACTGGAAGGTGAAGCTGCACGCCAAGTAGAGGCAGAAGCGGGGCCAGAGGAGGGCGACTGCCGCTCGCTTGCGCCGGAAGACGATGGCCACCAGCCAGAAACCGTGCAGCATCGCGTAGAGGTCCATCCGCTGCCCGATGGCGTTGATGGTCATCAGGAAGCACACCTGAGGGGTATGGGAAGATGGGGGGGGGGGGGTGGTGGTGGTGTCACGGGGTGGGCGGGGGTGGGGGGCAAGTGGGGGGGGGTTAGGGGGGAGGGAGAAGCACGGTGGTTCGAGCCCTGGGTCTGGGTCTCTCTCTATCAGGGGGGTCATAGTGGCCGTGTCGGAGACACTGAGAGCCTGGGTTCGAGCCTTGAGTCTGGGCGTCTCTCTCTATCAGGGGGTTCATAGTGGCCGTGTAGGAGACACTGAGAGCCTGGGTTCAAGCCTTGAGTCTGGGCGTCTCTCTCTATCAGGGGGTTCATAGTGGCCGTGTCGGAGACACTGAGAGCCTGGGTTCGAGCCCTGGGTCTGGGTATCTCTCTCTATCAGGGGGTTCATAGTGGCCGTGTAGGAGACACTGAGAGGCTGGGTTCGAGCCCTGGGTCTGGGTGTCTCTCTTTCTATCAGGGGGGTCATAGTGGCCGTGTCGGAGACACTGAGAGCCTGGGTTCGAGCCCTGGGTCTGGGTGTCTCTCTCTCTATCAGGGGGTCCATAATGGCCGTGTCGGAGACATTGAGAGCCTGGGTTCGAGCCCTGGGTCTGGGTGTCTCTCTATCTCTATCAGGGGGTTCATAGTGGCCGTGTAGGAGACACTGAGAGCCTGGGTTCGAGCCCTGGGTCTGGGTGTCTCTCTCTCTATCAGGTGGTTCATAATGGCCGTAATGGAGACACTGAGAGGCTGGGTTCGAGCCCTGGGTCTGGGTGTCTTTTTCTCTATCAGGGGGTTCATAGTGGCCGTGTCGGAGACACTGAGAGCCTGGGTTCGAGCCCTGGGTCTGGGTCTCTCTCACCTGTATGCCTGTGGCTGAGGGCCTCACCTGTAGGCCCGTGGCTGAGGGCCTCACCTGTAGGCCTGTGGCTGAGGGCCTCACCTGTAGGCCCGTGGCTGAGGGCCTCACCTGTAGGCCTGTGGCTGAGGGCCTCACCTGTAGGCCCGTGGCTGGGTGAGGCCTCACCTGTAGGCCTGTGGCTGAGGGCCTCACCTGTAGGCCCGTGGCTGAGGGCCTCACCTATAGGCCTGTGGCTAAGGGCCTCACCTGTAGGCCCGTGGCTGAAGGCCTCACCTGTAGGCCTGTGGCTGGGTGAGGCCTCACCTGTAGGCCTGTGGCTGAGGGCTTCACCTGTAGGCCTGTGGCTGAGGGCCTCACCCGTAGGCTCGTGGCTGAGGGCCTCACCTGTATGTCCGTGGCTGAGGGCCTCACCTGTAGGCCTGTGGCTGAGGGCCTCACCTGTAGGCCAATGGCTGAGGGACTCACTTGTAGGCCTGTGGCTGAGGGCCTCACCTGTAGGCCTGTGGCTGAGGGCCTCACCTGTAGGCCCGTGGCTGAGGGCCTCAACTGTAGGCCCGTGGCTGAGGGCCTCACCTATAGGACTGTGGCTGAGGGCCTCACCTGTATGCCCGTGGCTGAGGGCCTCACCTGCAGGCTCGTGGCTGAGGGCCTCACCTGTAGGCCTGTGGCTGAGGGCCTCACCTGTAGGCCTGTGGCTGGCTAAGGGCCTGGCCTGTGGCTGAGGGCCTCACCTGTAGGCCCGTGGCTGAGGGCCTCAACTGTAGGCCCGTGGCTGAGGGCCTCACCTATAGGACTGTGGCTGGCTGAGGGCCTCACCTGTAGGCCCGTAGCTGAGGGCCTCACCTATAGGCCTGTGGCTGAGGGCCTCACCTATAGGCCTGTGGCTGAGGGCCTCACCTGTAGGCTCGTGGCTGAGGGCCTCACCTGTAGGCCCGTAGCTGGCTAAGGGCATCACCTGTAGGCCTGTGGCTGAGGGCCTCACCTATAGGCCCGTGGCTGAAGGCCTCACCTGTAGGCCCGTGACTGGGTGAGGCCTCAACCGTAGGCCCCGGGTCGCGAGGAGGGGAGGGCCTCTCTGAAGGCCCACAGTGGCCGGGGTGGGGAGCGGAGGAGAAGGGGTGGGGTGGGGGGGAGCGGGTGTCCCTGACCTCGAGGCCGAACTTGTAGAAGAAGTAGTTGAGGAAGTACTTGAGGCAGAGCGCCACGCTGCGGTCCATGTGGCCACGCGTCACCCCGGGGAAGATGGCGCCCGTGGGCGGCGCGGCCTCGCCGCTCGCCGCCCGGCAGTAGGCCTGGCGCCGGTACACAGTCGCCTCCAGCACCAGCACGGCCAGGATCATCAGGTGGTCCTGGAGTGGGGGGGGGGAAGAGAGGGGGAGGAATTGGGGGGAGTTTGGGGAGGAGCGAGTGGTGGGTGAGCGTCGGGTGAGTGGCCGGTGAGCGAGTGGTGGGCGAGCGTCGGGTGAGCGAGCGGTGGGTGAGCGAGCGGTGGGTGAGCGAGCGGTGGGTGAGCGGTGGGTGAGCGAGCGTCAGGTGAGCGGTGGGTGAGCGAGTGGTGGGTGAGTGGTGGGTGAGCGGTGGGTGAGCGAGTGGTGGGTGAGTGGTGGGTGAGCGAGTGGTGGGTGAGCGTCGGGTGAGCGTCGAGTGAGCAAGTGGTGGGTGAGCATCGGGTGAGTGAGTGGTGGGCGAGCGTCGGGTGAGTGAGTGGTGGGCGAGCGTCGGGTGAGTGAGTGGTGGGCGAGCGTCGGGTGAGTGAGTGGTGGGCGAGCGTCGGGTGAGCGAGCGGTGGGTGAGCGAGCGGTGGGTGAGCGAGCAGTAGGTGAGCGAGTGGTGGGTGAGCGAGCGGTGGGCGAGCGAGCGGTGGGTGAGCGAGCGGTGGGTGAGCGAGCGGTGGGTGAGCGAGCGAGCGGTGGGTGAGCGAGCGAGCGGTGGGTGAGCGAGCGGTGGGTGAGCGAGCGTCGGGCGAGCGAGCGGTGGGTGAGCGAGCGGTGGGTGAGCAAGCGTCGGGTGAGCGAGCGGTGGGTGAGCGAGCGAGCAGTGGGCGAGCGAGCGGTGGGTGAGCGAGCGAGCGGTGGGTGAGCGAGCGGTGGGTGAGCGAGCGGTGGGTGAGCGAGCGGTGGATGAGCGAGCGGTGGGTGGGCGAGCGAGCGGTGGGTGGGCGAGCGAGCGGTGGGTGAGCGAGCGGTGGGTGAGCGAGCGGTGGGTGAGGGGTGGGTGAGCGAGCGGTGGGTGAGCGAGCGGTGGGTGAGCGAGCGAGCGGTGGGTGAGCGGTGGGTGAGCGAGCGGTGGGTGAGCAAGCGTCGGGTGAGCGAGCGGTGGGTGAGCGAGCGAGCGGTGGGTGAGCGAGCGGTGGGTGAGCGAGCGGTGGGTGAGCGAGCGGTGGGTGAGCGAGCGGTGGGTGAGCGAGCGAGCGGTGGGTGAGCGAGCAGTGGGTGAGCGAGCGGTGGGCGAGCGGTGGGTGAGCGAGCAGACCCGTATGTATAGGGCGATGTTGTCGGCCTTGCGAAGGCCCACCCAGTTGGCCGGATCGACGGGGCCCCGGTAGAGCAGCGAGCCACGGCGATCCTCCTCACTCATCCCCACGGGAACCTGCACCACCAAACACGTGACACGGCCGGCCAGGGTCGTCACGGCAACGTCGCAGCAACGTCAGGGTGATGTCATCATCACAGACCCACCCAGCTACCGCCACAGACCCAGCCAGCTACCGTCACAGACCCACCCAGCTACCATCACAGACCCAGCTACTGTCACAGACCCACCCAGCTACCGCCACAGACCCACCCAGCTACCGCCACAGACCCACCCAGCTACCGTCACAGACCCAGCTACCATCAAAGACCCACCCAGCTACAATCACAGACCCATCCAGCTACCGTCACAGACCCAGCAAGCTACCGTCACAGACCCACCCAGCTACCGTCACAGACCCAGCCAACTACCATCACAGACCCACCCAGCTACCATCACAGACCCATCTACCACCACAGACCCAGCCAGCTACCGCCACAGACCCACCCAGCTACCATCACAGACCCAGCTACCGCCACAGACCCACCCAGCTACCATCACAGACCCAGCTACCGCCACAGACCCACCCAGCTACCGTCACAGACCCAGCCAGCTACCGTCACAGACCCAACCAGCTACCGCCACAGACCCACCCAGCTACCATCACAGACCCACCCAGCTACCGCCACAGACCCACCCAGCTACCGCTACAGACCCACCCAGCTACCGTCACAGACCCAGCCAGCTACCACCACAGACCCACCCTGCTACCATCACAGACCCACCCAGCTACACCCACAGACCCACCCAGCTACCATCACAGACCCACCCAGCTACCATCACAGACCCACCCAGCTACACCCACAGACCCAGCCAGCTACCGTCACAGACCCAGCTACCATCACAGACCCACCCAGCTACCATCACAGACCCACCCAGCTACCATCACAGACCCACCCAGCTACACCCACAGACCCACCCAGCTACACCCACAGACCCACCCAGCTACACCCACAGACCCACCCAGCTACACCCACAGACCCACGCAGCTACTGTCACAGACCCAGCTACTGTCACAAACCCACCCAGCTACCGCCACAGACCCACCCAGCTACCATCACAGACCCAGCCAGCTACCGTCACAGACCCAGCTACCGTCACAGACCCAGCTACCGCCACAGACCCAGCCAGCTACCGCCACAGACCCACCCAGCTACACCCACAGACCCACCCAGCTACCATCACAGACCCACCCAGCTACCATCACAGACCCAGCCAGCTACACCCACAGACCCACCCAGCCACCGCCACAGACCCACCCAGCTACACCCACAGACCCACCCAGCTACTGTCACAGACCCAGCCAGCTACCGCCACAGACCCAGCTACTGTCACAGACCCAGCTACCATCACAGACCCACCCAGCTACTGTCACAGACCCAGCTACTGTCACAGACCCAGCTACTGTCACAGACCCAGCTACTGTCACAGACCCAGCTACTGTCACAGACCCAGCTACTGTCACAGACCCAGCTACTGTCACAGACCCAGCTACTGTCACAAACCCAGCTACTGTCACAAACCCAGCTACTGTCACAGACCCACCCAGCTACCATCACAGACCCACCCAACTACACCCACAGACCCACCCAGCTACACCCACAGACCCAGCCAGCTACACCCACAGACCCACCCAGCTACTGTCACAGACCCAGCCAGCTACCATCACAGACCCAGGCAGCCACCGCCACTCACGGTGCAGTTGGTGCTGAAGGTGGCCGAGTTGACTATGTGCAGCTGGTACAGCATCTTGCCCACGACCACGACGCTCACCCACACAGCTACCGTCACAGACCCAGCTACCGCCACAGACCCAGCCAGCTACCATCACAGACCCACCCAGCTACTGTCACAGACCCACCCAACTACCATCACAGACCCACCCAGCTACTGTCACAGACCCACCCAACTACCATCACAGACCCACCCAGCTACTGTCACAGACCCACCCAGCTACCATCACAGACCCAGCTACACTCACAGACCCACCCACCCACCGCCACAGACCCAGCTACCATCACAGACCCACCCAGCTACACCCACAGACCCACCCAGCTACACCCACAGACCCAGCCAGCTACACCCACAGACCCAGCCAGCTACCTTCACAGACCCAGCTACCATCACAGAGCCAGGCAGCCACCGCCACTCACGGTGCAGTTGGTGCTGAAGGTGGCCGAGTTGACTATGTGCAGCTGGTACAGCATCTTGCCCACGACCACGACGCTCACCCACACAGCTACCGTCACAGACCCAGCTACCATCACAGACCCACCCAGCTACACCCACAGACCCACCCAGCCACCGCCACAGACCCAGCTACTGTCACAGACCCAGCTACCATCACAGACCCACCCAGCTACCATCACAGACTCAGCTACCATCACAGACCCACCCAGCTACCATCACAGACCCAGCTACACCCACAGACCCAGCCAGCCACCGCCACTCACGGTGCAGTTGGTGCTGAAGGTGGCCGAGTTGACTATGTGCAGCTGGTACAGCATCTTGCCCACGACCACGACGCTCACCCACACAGCTACCGTCACAGACCCACCCAGCTACACCCACAGACCCAGCCAGCTACCATCACAGACCCACCCAGCTACCGCCACAGACCCACCCAACTACCATCACAGACCCACCCAGCTACACCCACAGACCCAGCCAGCTACACCCACAGACCCAGCTACCGCCACAGACCCAGCCAGCTACACCCACAGACCCACCCAGCTACACCCACAGACCCAGCCAGCTACCGTCACAGACCCAGCTACCATCACAGACCCACCCAGCTACACCCACAGACCCACCCAGCTACCATCACAGACCCAGCTACTGTCACAGACCCAGCTACCGTCACAGACCCAGCTACCATCACAGACCCACCCAGCTACCATCACAGACCCAGCTACCATCACAGACCCAGCTACCATCACAGACCCAGCTACCATCACAGACCCAGCTACTGTCACAGACCCAGCTACCATCACAGACCCAGCTACCATCACAGACCCACCCAGCTACCATCACAGACCCAGCTACTGTCACAGACCCAGCCAGCTACCATCACAGACCCACCCAGCTACACCCACAGACCCACCCAGCTACACCCACAGACCCACCCAGCTACACCCACAGACCCACCCAGCTACCATCACAGACCCAGCCAGCTACCATCACAGACCCACCCAGCTACCGCCACAGACCCACCCAGCTACCATCACAGACCCAGCCAGCTACCATCACAGACCCACCCAGCTACCGCCACAGACCCACCCAGCTACCGCCACAGACCCACCCAGCTACCACCACAGACCCAGCTACCATCACAGACCCAGCCAGCTACCATCACAGACCCAGCCAGCTACACCCACAGACCCACACAGCTACACCCACAGACCCAGCCAGCTACACCCACAGACCCACCCAGCTACACCCACAGACCCACCCAGCTACCATCACAGACCCAGCTACTGTCACAGACCCAGCCAGCTACCATCACAGACCCACCCAGCTACACCCACAGACCCACCCAGCTACCATCACAGACCCAGCTACTGTCACAGACCCAGCCAGCTACCATCACAGACCCAGGCAGCCACCGCCACTCACGGTGCAGTTGGTGCTGAAGGTGGCCGAGTTGACTATGTGCAGCTGGTACAGCATCTTGCCCACGACCACGACGCTCACCCACACAGCTACCGTCACAGACCCAGCTACCATCACAGACCCACCCAGCTACACCCACAGACCCAGCCAGCTACCGTCACAGACCCAGCTACCGCCACAGACCCACCCAGCTACACCCACAGACCCAGCCAGCTACCGTCACAGACCCAGCTACACCCACAGACCCACCCAGCTACACCCACAGACCCACCCAGCTACCATCACAGACCCAGCTACACCCACAGACCCAGCTACCATCACAGACCCAGCCAGCCACCGCCACTCACGGTGCAGTTGGTGCTGAAGGTGGCCGAGTTGACTATGTGCAGCTGGTACAGCATCTTGCCCACGACGCTCACCCACACAGCTACCGTCACAGACCCAGCTACCATCACAGACCCACCCAGCTACCGTCACAGACCCAGCCACCGCCACAGACCCACCCAGCTACACCCACAGACCCACCCAGCCAGCTACTGTCACAGACCCAGCTACCATCACAGACCCACCCAGCTACACCCACAGACCCACCCAGCTACACCCACAGACCCACCCAGCTACCGCCACAGACCCACCCAGCTACCACCACAGACCCAGCTACCATCACAGACCCAGCCAGCTACACCCACAGACCCACACAGCTACACCCACAGACCCACCCAGCTACACCCACAGACCCACCCAGCTACCATCACAGACCCAGCTACTGTCACAGACCCAGCCAGCTACCATCACAGACCCAGGCAGCCACCGCCACTCACGGTGCAGTTGGTGCTGAAGGTGGCCGAGTTGACTATGTGCAGCTGGTACAGCATCTTGCCCACGACCACGACGCTCACCCACACAGCTACCGTCACAGACCCACCCAGCTACCATCACAGACCCAGCCAGCTACCATCACAGACCCACCCAACTACCATCACAGACCCACCCAGCTACACCCACAGACCCAGCTACACCCACAGACCCAGCCAGCCACCGCCACTCACGGTGCAGTTGGTGCTGAAGGTGGCCGAGTTGACTATGTGCAGCTGGTACAGCATCTTGCCCACGACCACGACGCTCACCCACACAGCGCACGTGGCCGACGCGGCGCGCCGCACCCGCGGGAAGGGCAACGCGAAGCCCCACGCGATGAGCAGGGCGTAGTTAAGCAGCGACACCTGTGGGGGTGGGGGTGGGTGGGGGTGGGTGGGTGGGGGTGGGGGTGTGTGTGTGTGGGGTGTGGGTGTGTGTGTGTGGGGGTGTGTGTGTGAGGGTGTGTGTGTGTGGTGCATCAGCCAGTCATCTCAGTCAGTCGACCCGTGGCACCTGGGTCTGCCCCGTGACCTCCTGCCAGCGGGCGTTTGACACTTCACGTGGCCTCAAGGTGCACATAGCCTGGCACAAGCGTCGTGGTGACGTCACCGCCACTTAGTGGCGAATGGCGGTTGTTGTTGTTGTGTGTGTGTGTGGGGGGGGGGGGGGAGTGTGTGGGGGGTGTGTGTGTGGGTGTGTGTAGGTGTGTGTGGGTTTGTGTAGGTGTGTGTGGGTTTGTGTAGGTGTGTGTGTGTGTAGGTGTGTGTGTGGGTATGTATGGGTGTGCGTCACTCACCCGCCGAGTCACTCACCCACTCACTCATTCACTCGCTCAACCACTCAGTCGCTGACTCACCCATTCGCTCAACCACTCAGTCGCTCACTGACTCACTCACTCACTCACCCACTCACACAATCACCCACTCAAACACTCACTCACTCATTAACTCACTCACCCACTCACTCACTCACCCACTCACACACTCACTCACTTATTAACTCACTCACTCACCCACCCACTCACTCACCCACTCAATCACCCACTCATTCACCTACTTACTCGCTCACTCACCCACTCACTCACTCACACACTCACTCACTCACCCACTCATTCACCTACTTACTCGCTCACTCACCCACTCACTCACACACTCACTTAATCACTCACTCACGTACTTACTCACTCACTCACCCACTCACCCACTCACCCACTCACTCACACACTCACTCAATCACTCACTCACTCACTCATTAACTCACTCAATCACTCACTCACACACTCACTCACCCACTCACTCACTCACACACTCAATCACCCACTCATTCACCTACTTACTCACTCACACACTCACTCACACACTCACCTACTTACTCACTCACTCAGTCAAGAGGAGGGTTATGAGGGGTAGTGGTTGTGTTGGTGGCTAGATGTGGTGGTGGTGGTGGGTAGACGTGGTGGTGGTGGTGGTGGGTGGTGGCTAGACGTGGTGGTGGTGGGTGGTGGGTAGACGTGGTGGGTAGACGTGGTGGGTGGTGGTGGGTGGTGGCTAGACGTGGTGCGTGGTGGTGGCTAGACGTGGTGGGTGGTGGTGGGTGGTAGTGGTGGTGGTGGGTAGTGGGTGGTAGTGGTGGTGGTGGGTAGACGTGGTGGGTGGTGGTGGCTACACGTGGTGGGTGGAAGTGGTGGTGGTGGGTGGTGGGTAGACGTGGTGGTGGGTAGTGGTGGTGGTGGTGGGTAGACGTGGTGGTGGTGGTGGTGGGTGGCGGCTAGACGTGGTGAGTGATGGTAGTGGTGGTGGTGGGTGGTGACGGCTACACGTGGTGGGTGGTAGTGGGTAGTGGTGGTGGGTGGTGGCTAGACGTGGTGGTGGGTGGCGGCTACACGTGGTGGTGGGTAGTGGTGGTGGTGGTGGGTGGTGGTGGTGGCTACACGTGGTGGGTGGTAGTGTTGGTGGGTGGCGGCTAGACGTGGTGGTGGGTGGCGGCTAGACGTGGTGGGTGGTGATGGTGGGTGGTGGTGACGGCTACACGTGGGTGGGTGGTAGTGGTGGGTGGTGGTAGTGGTGGGTGGTAGTGGTGGGTGGTGGAGTGTGGGCAGGCACCTCGCGCAGCGCCACCCACACGGTGTAGAAGGAGGCCAACTTTATGATGTGCAGCTCCAGGAGCCTCCAGGCGAGGCCCTGGGCCCACCTCAGCAGCTCCATGGAGCGCAGCAGCAGCACGGAGAGGCGGTCGAGAACCAGACGCCACTTGTTGGCCTCTTCTGCATACCACAGCGGAGTCACAGCCACGCCGTCACACCCTCAGCGTCACAACCGTCACACCCTCAGCGTCACAACCGTCACACCCTCAGCGTCACAACTGTGCGTCACACCCTCAGCGTCACAACCGTCACACCCTCAGTATCACAGCCGTACAGTCACACCCTCAGCGTCACAGCTCCCGTGCCGTCACACACTCAGTGTCACAACCGTGCCGTCACACCCTCAGTGTCACAGCCGTGCCGTCACACCCTCAGTGTCACAGCTGTCACACCCTCAGCGTCACGGCCGTCACACCCTCAGCGTCACAACCGTCACACCCTCAGTGTAACAGCCGTGCCGTCACACCCTCAGCATCACGGCCATCACACCCTCAGTGTCACAACCGTGCCGTCACACCCTCAGCGTCACGGCCGTCACACCCTCAGCATCACGGCCATCACACCCTCAGTGTCACAGCCGTCACACCATCAGTGTCACAGCCGTCACACCCTCAGCATCACGGCCATCACACCCTCAGTGTCACAGCCGTCACACCCTCAGTGTCACAGCCGTCACACCTTCAGCATCACAGCCGTCACACCCTCAGTGTCACAGCCACGCCGTCACACCCTCAGCGTCACAGCCGTCACACCCTCAGCATCACGGCCATCACACCCTCAGTGTCACAGCCACGCCGTCACACCCTCAGCGTCACGGCCCCCGTGCCCTCACACCGCAGCAGTTGCATTACAACCGGTCGCCATTGCCTCCCCAGCACCCTCCACCCCCCGCCCCCTCCTCACCGTCCTCCTCCTCCTCCTCCTCGTCGTCCTCCTCCTCCTCCTCGTCGCCGTGGTGCCGTGGCTCCGCCGTGCGCTCCCCCGGCGTGACCTCGGTGACCCCTGGCCCCGGGGTGCCGCTGCCCTTGTCGGGGATGAGGCTGAGGTCGGGCAGGCTGCCCTCGTCCGTCGCCATCCTGACGCCGGTGGCATCATCGGTGAGATCATCGGTGACATCATCGGTGACATCATCGGTGAGATCATCGGAGAGGTCGGTTAGATTGGTGACATCGGTGACATCGGTGAAATCGGTGAGATCGGTGACATCGGTGAAATTGGTGAGATCGGTGACATCGGTGAGATCGGTAAAATCGGTGAGATCGGTGAGATCGGTAAAATCGGTGAGATCGGTGATATTTGTAAGATCGGTGAGATCGGTGACATCGGTGATATCGGTGACATCAGTGAAATCTGTGAGATCGGTGAACTCGGTGAGATCGGTGAAATCGGTGATATCGGTGACATCAGTGAAATCGGTGAGATCGGTGAAATCGGTGACATCGATGACATCGGTGAAATCGGTGACATCGGTGACATCGGTGACGCCGGTGACGCCGGTGACGCCGGTGACGTCGTTGAGATCGGTGAGATGATCAACACCGTCGACATCAGTCACATCAGTGACATCATCGACATCGACGTCAACGACACCGTCGAGATCGGTGACATCATCGGCGTCATCGATGACACCATCGGCGTCATCGATGACACCATCGGCGTCGTCGTCGACACCGTCGGCGTCGTCGTCGACACCATCGGCGTCATCGATGACACCGTCGGCGTCATCGTCGACACCGTCGGCGTCATCGTCGACACCGTCGGCGTCATCGATGACACCGTCGGCGTCATCGTCGACACCGTCGGCGTCATCGTCGACACCGTCGGCGTCATCGATGACACCATCGGCGTCATCGATGACATCAGTGCGTGGCCCACGTCCACAGCTCGTTTGACATAAGGCACTCCCCGATAAGCGCCCGCTCGCTGCCCTTGCTTGCCTTTCGCTCGCCGTAATAGCCCACTCACCCTTTCCGATTAGCGCGGTTGGCCTCAGCTTCCCGTTCGGGGGCCTGTGGGGAGCGGCGAGCGCTACGCCGCCGGCTACGGCCGTCGGCTACGGCCGACCCCGAGTTCGATCCCCGCTCACGGCCAACACCGACTCTCCGAATCCGGCCCCGGGCCTCAGCGTTAAGCCACCCGGCGCGTCGCGCAGCGAGCGTCGCCGCTGGGGGGGAGACAAAGGCGGCCGGGCGTGGCGCTGACCGCCCAACCCCCCTCGAAGTGCCACCGTTACACCGGCCTTCGTAGGCGCTCGCTCGCTAACAGCGCTTGCCCCTACGGTCTGTTACAGGCTATACGGGGGGGGGGTATCTTTGTCGTCTTTGTCTTTTGCCTCCCCTAGGTCGACTCGGCCTCAGACGATTTCCCTGATGCTATTGCCAATAAACTGCAACTTGAATCGCTACCTATGAGATCTTCACTCAAAACCGCTCTAGAGGAGTTGCACAACCCCTAGCTGCCACAGCTATTCAGTGGCCTAAAATATGGCTCCAGATTTTGGTGTTATAATTTATTTACGTAGTTTATTGTTAAAAATTCGGTCACAGTCCCTGTTGATCACTGTTACATTGCATTCACGGCTTTTATTTTGGTGATTTCGAAAACGTTTTTTTTGTTTTGGCCGTGTTAATGTTTATTGTAGTACGGAGTTAGACTCGTGGCCTTAATCTTAGTTGTCTTGTGGTTGTTGTTGTTAGTTGACTTGCATCCCACTGGGATTTTTGCACGCAGCGTTGGTGGTGTACAAGGTGGCTTATTTCAGAAATATTTTGATATTTTTTTTTCCCCGGATTTTCTGTTTGCACAGTCACACAATCACTTTAAGATTTTTTTCTCGTTCGTGTTTTTTTTGTTGGTTGCGGTTGCACCCGATTCAAGAGCCGAATGGCTCAAAGGGCTCGATACCAACATAAATGAAAACTATGAAAATTAAATGAACTATGTACCCAGAGTGCCCGGCCTTTCAGGAGGCCCTGCTCGCTAGCAGCACTTGCTCCCTACATGCTACACGGGTGGGGCGGGTTGCCCCACCAGGTTGCCCCACCGGGTTGCCCCACCGGGTTGCCCCACCAGGTTGCCCCACCGGGTTGCCCCACCCTGCCCCACCAGGTTGCCCCACCGGGTTGCCCCACCGGGTTGCCCCACCAGGTTGCCCCACCAGGTTGCCCCACCGGGTTGCCCCACCAGGTTGCCCCACCAGGTTGCCCCCACCGGGTTGCCCCACCGGGTTGCCCCACCAGGTTGCCCCACCAGGTTGCCCCACCTGTAGGCGGGTTGCCCCACCGGGTTGCCCCACCAGGGTTGCCCCACCGGGTTGCCCCACCGGGTTGCCCCACCAGGTTGCCCCACCGGGTTGCCCCCACCAGGTTGCCCCACCGGGTTGCCCCCACCAGGTTGCCCCACCCAGGGTTGCCCCACCGGGTTGCCCCACCGGGTTGCCCCACCCAGGGTTGCCCCACCGGGTTGCCCCACCAGGTTGCCCCACCAGGTTGCCCCACCAGGTTGCCCCACCAGGTTGCCCCACCTGTAGGCGGGTTGCCCCACCAGGTTGCCCCACCAGATTGCCCCACCGGGTTGCCCCACCTGTAGGCGGGTTGCCCCACCGGGTTGCCCCACCGGGTTGCCCCACCGGGTTGCCCCACCCTGCCCCACCAGGTTGCCCCACCGGGTTGCCCCACCAGGTTGCCCCCACCAGGTTGCCCCACCAGGTTACCCCACCGGGTTGCCCCACCGGGTTGCCCCACCAGGTTGCCCCACCAGGGTTGCCCCACCTGTAGGCGACGCTCTCCTCGTTGCGCCACACGCGGTTGAGGTCGGTGAGCTGCAGGAAGCGGTCGTGGAAGTAGTGCAGCTGCAGGATGCAGCACAGCAGGAAGGCGGTGGGCAGGAGGATGCGCGTGAAGAGGTTGGCCGTCGTGAACTTCTCCAGGCCCAGGTCCTTGAGCCTGATGGGGGGACGATAGCTCCAGTATCGCCTTGACGGGGGCCCACGCACAAAGACCGCCCCCCACCCCCCCCTCGGCCTAGCAACAAGGCCCCCCTCGGCCTAGCAACAAGGCCCCCCTCGGCCTAGCAACAAGGTCTCGGCCTAGCAACAAGGCCCCCCTCGGCCTAGCAACAAGGTCTCGGCCTAGCAACAAGACCCCTCGGCCTAGCAACAAGGCCCCCCTCGGCCTAGCAACATGGCCCCCCTCGGCCTAGTAAAAGGCCCCCTCGGCCTAGCAACAAGGCCCCCCTCGGCCAAGCAACAAGGCCACCCTCGGCCTAGTAAAAGGCCCCCTCGGCCTAGCAACAAGGCCCCCCTCGGCCTAGCAGCAAGGCCCCCTCGGCCTAGCAACAAGGTCTCGGCCTAGCAACAAGGCCTCCTCGGCCTAGCAACAAGGCCCCCCTCGGCCTAGCAACACGGTCTCGGCCTAGCAACAAGGTATCGGCCTAGCAACAAGGCCCCCCTCGGCCTAGCAACACGGTCTCGGCCTAGCAACAAGGTATCGGCCTAGCAACAAGGCCCCCCTCGGCCTAGCAACAAGGCCCCCTCAGCCTAACAACAAGGTCTCGGTCTAGCAACAAGGCCTCAGCCTAGCAACAAGGCCCCCTCAGCTTAGCAACAAGGCCTCAGCCTAGCAACAAGGCCTCAGCCTAGCAACAAGGCCTCAGCCTAGTAACAAGGCCTCCTCAGCCTAGCAACAAGGCCTCAGCCTAGCAACAAAACCTCAGCCTAGCAACAAGGCCCCCTCAGCCAAGCAACAAGGTCTCAGCCTAGCAACAAGGCCTCAGCCTAGCAACAAGGCGTCCTCAGCCTTGCAACAAGGCATCAGCCTAGTAAAAGTCCTCAGCCTAGCAACAAGGCCTCCTCAGCCTCTTACCAAGGCCTCAGCCTAGCAACAAAACCTCCTCAGCCTAGCAACAAGGCCTCAGCCTAGCAACAAGGCCTCCTCAGCCTATTACCAAGGCCTCAGCCTAGCAACAAAACCTCAGCCTAGCAACAAGGCCCCGTCAGCCTCGCAACAAGGCCTCAGCCTAGCAACAAAACCTCCTCAGCCTAGCAACAAGGCCTCACCCTAGCAACAAGGCCTCCTCAGCCTAGCAACAAGGCCCCCTCAGCCTAGTAACAAGGCCCCCTCAGCCTTAGCAACAAGGCCTCAGCCTAGCAACAAGGCCTCAGACTAGCAACAAGGCCTCCTCAGCCTAGTAACAAGGCCTCAGCCTAGCAACAAGGCCTCAGGCTAGCAACAAAACCTCCTCAGCCTAGCAACAAGGCCTCCTCAGCCTAGCAACAAGCGAGGACGAGCGAGATGAGCGAGGTGAGGGTGAGTGAGGGTGAGCGAGGTGAGTGAGAGTGAGGGTGAGGGAGGGTGAGTGAGGATGAGGGTGAGCGAGTGAGGTGAGTGAGGGTGAGTGAGGGTGAGTGAGGTGAGTGAGGGTGAGTGAGGTGAGTGAGGTGAGTGAGGGTGAGTGAGGTGAGTAAGGGTGAGTGAGGTGAGTGAGGGTGAGTGAGTGAGTGTGAGCGAGGTGAGTGAGAGCTGACTGCTGGGCTCACTGGTCAATATTGAGGCGAGTCATGCTCATCCAGAGCGGGGGTGAGCGAGGTGAGTGAGAGTGAGGTAAGTGAGAGTGAGGTGAGTGAGAGTGAGTGAGGGTGAGTGAGAGTGAGGGTGAGTGAGGTGAGGGTGAGTGAGAGTGAGCGAGCGAGGTGAGTGAGGGTGAGGGTGAGTGAGTGAGAGTGAGGGTGAGGCGAGGTGAGGGTGAGCGAGGTGAGTGAGGGCGAGGGTGAGTGAGTGAGAGCGAGGGTGAGTGAGTTTGAGTGAGGGTGAGAGTGAGTGAGTGCGAGTGAGTGAGAGCTGACTACTGGGCTCACTGGTCAATGTTGAGGCGCGTCATGCTCATCCAGAGCGGGGGTGAGCGAGGTGAGTGAGTGAGGTGAATGAGAGTGAGGGTGAGTGAGAGTGAGGGTGAGTGAGTGTGAGTGAGAGCGAGGTGAGTGAGTGTGAGTGAGAGCGAGGGTGAGTGTGAGTGAGTGAGTGTGAGCTGACTACTGGGCTCACTGGTCAATATTGAGGCGCGTCATGCTAATCCACAGCGGGGGTGAGCGAGGTGAGTGAGTGAGAGTGAGGGTGAGGTGAGCGAGCGAGATGAGGGTGAGTGAGGTAAGGGTGAGCGAGCGAGCCTAGCAACAAGGCCCCGTCAGCCTCGCAACAAGGCCTCAGCCTAGCAACAAAACCTCCTCAGCCTCGCAACAAGGCCTCAGCCTTGCAACAAAACCTCCTCAGCCTAGCAACAAGGCCTCAGCCTAGCAACAAGGCCTCCTCAGCCTATTACCAAGGCCTCAGCCTAGCAACAAAACCTCAGCCTAGCAACAAGGCCCCGTCAGCCTCGCAACAAGGCCTCAGCCTAGCAACAAAACCTCCTCAGCCTAGCAACAAGGCCTCCTCAGCCTAGCAACAAGGCCCCCTCAGTCTAGTAACAAGGCCCCCTCAGCCTAGCAACAAGGCCTCAGACTAGCAACAAGGCCTCCTCAGCCTAGTAACAAGGCCTCCTCAGCCTAGCAACAAGGCCTCAGCCTAGCAACAAGGCCTAAGCCTAGCAACAAAACCTCCTCAGCCTAGCAACAAGGCCTCCTCAGCCTAGCAACAAGCGAGGACGAGCGAGATGAGCGAGGTGAGGGTGAGTGAGGTGAGTGAGGGTGAGCGAGGTGAGTGAGAGTGAGGGTGAGTGAGGGTGAGCGAGGTGATCGAGTGAGGTGAATGAGGGTGAGTGAGGTGAGTGAGGGTGAGTGAGGTGAGTGAGGGTGAGTGACGGTGAGTGAGGTGAGTGAGGGTGAGTGAGGTGAGGGTGAGTGAGGTGAGTGAAGTGAGTGAGGGTGACTGAGGTGAGTGAGGTGAATGAGGGTGAGCGAGGTGAGTGAGAGTGAGCGAGGGTGAGTGAGGTGAGTGAGGGTGAGTGAGGTGAGTGAGGGTGAGTGAGGTGAGTGAGGGTGAGTGAGTGTGAGCGGGGTGAGTGAGGTGAGTGAGGGTGAGTGAGGGTGAGTGAGGTGAGTGAGGGTGAGTGAGGTGAGGGTGAGTGAGGTGAGTGAGGTGAGTGAGGGTGACTGAGGTGAGTGAGGTGAATGAGGGTGAGCGAGGTGAGTGAGAGTGAGCGAGGGTGAGTGAGGTGAGTGAGGGTGAGTGAGGTGAGTGAGTGAGAGCGAGGTGAGTGAGTGAGAGCGAGGTGAGTGTGAGTGAGTGAGAGTGAGTGAGAGCTGACTGCTGGGCTCACTGGTCAATATTGAGGCGAGTCATGCTCATCCAGAGCGGGGGTGAGTGAGGTGAGTGAGGTGAGTGAGAGTGAGGGTGAGTGAGAGTGAGGTGAGTGAGAGTGAGGGTGAGTGAGGGTGAGTGAGAGTGAGCGAGCGAGGTGAGTGAGGGCGAGTGAGTGAGAGTGAGGGTGAGCGAGGTGAGGGTGAGTGAGAGTGAGCGAGCGAGGTGAGTGAGAGTGAGGGTGAGCGAGCGAGGTGAGTGAGGGCGAGGGTGAGGGAGAGTGAGTGAGAGTGAGGGTGAGCGAGCGAGGTGAGTGAGGGTGAGTGAGTGAGGTGAGTGAGGGCGAGGGTGAGGGTGAGTGAGCGAGATGAGGGTGAGCGAGCGAGGTGAGTGAGGGTGAGCGAGGTGAGTTAGTGAGAGTGAGGGTGAGTGAGTGAGAGTGAGGGTGAGCGAGCGAGGGTGAGTGAGGGCGAGGGTGAGGGTGAGTGAGTGAGGGTGAGGGTGAGCGAGGTGAGCGAGCGAGGTGAGGGTGAGTGAGTGAGTGAAAGCGAGGTGAGGGTGAGGGTGAGTGAGGGTGAGTGAGAGCGAGGTGAGTGAGGGTGAGCGAGGTGAGTGAGGGTGAGTGAGGGTGAGCGAGCGGGGTGAGTGAGTGAGAGTGAGTGAGAGCGAGGGTGAGTAAGTTTGAGTGAGTGTGAGTGAGTGCGAGTGAGTGAGAGCTGACTGCTGGGCTCACTGGTCAATATTGAGGCGCGTCATGCTCATCCACAGCGGGGGTGAGCGAGCGAGGTGAGTGAGGGTGAGCGAGGTGAGGGTGAGCGAGTGAGGTGAGTGAGAGCGAGGTGAGGGTGAGTGAGTGAGGGCGAGGGTGAGTGAGAGAGAGTGAGGTGAGCGAGGTGAGTGAGGGTGAGTGAGTGAGGTGAGCGAGGTGAGTTTGAGTGAGGGTGAGAGTGAGTGAGGGCGAGGTGAGTGAGTGAGAGCGAGGTGAGTGTGAGTGATTGAGAGTGAGTGAGAGCTGACTGCTGGGCTCACTGGTCAATATTAAGGCGCATCATGCTCATCCACAGCGGGGGTGAGCGAGGTGAGTGAGAGTGAGGTGAGTGAGAGTGAGGGTGAGTGAGGGTGAGTGAGAGTGAGTGAGTGAGAGTGAGGGTGAGCGAGCGAGGTGAGTGAGAGCGAGTGAGTGAGAGTGAGGGTGAGCGAGGTGAGGGTGAGTGAGTGAGAGCGAGGTGAGGGTGAGTGAGTGAGGGTGAGTCAGAGCGAGGTGAGTGAGGGTGAGCGAGGTGAGTGAGGGTGAGTGAGGGTGAGCGAGGTGAGGGTGAGTGAGAGTGAGGGTGAGCGAGGTGAGGGTGAGTGAGAGTGAGGGTGAGCGAGGTGAGCGAGCGAGGTGAGTGAGTGAGAGCGAGGTGAGGGTGAGTGAGGGTGAGTGAGAGCGAGGTGAGTGAGGGTGAGCGAGGTGAGTGAGGGTGAGTGAGGGTGAGCGAGCGGGTGAATGAGTGCGAGTGAGTGAGAGCTGACTACTGGGCTCACTGGTCAATGTTGAGGCGCATCATGCTCATCCAGAGCGGGGGTGAGTGAGGTGAGTGAGTGAGGGTGAGTGAGGGTGAGCGAGTGAGAGTGAGGTGAGCGAGCGAGGTGAGGGTGAGTGAGGTGAGGGTGAGTGTGAGTGAGGGCGAGATGAGTGAGAGTGAGGGTGAGTGAGCGAGGTGAGGGTGAGTGAGAGCGAGGGTGAGTGAGTGAGGGCGAGGTGAGTGAGTGTGAGTGAGTGAGTGTGAGTGAGAGCGAGGGTGAGTAAGTTTGAGTGAGTGTGAGTGAGTGAGAGCTGACTGCTGGGCTCACTGGTCAATGTTGAGGCGCGTCATGCTCATCCACAGCGGGGGTGAGCGAGGTGAGTGAGTGAGAGTGAGGGTGAGGTGAGCGAGCGAGGTGAGGGTGAGTGAGGTGAGGGTGAGCGAGCGAGCCTAGCAACAAGGACCCGTCAGCCTCGCAACAAGGCCTCAGCCTAGCAACAAAACCTCCTCAGCCTAGCAACAAGGCCTCAGCCTAGCAACAAGGCCTCCTCAGCCTATTACCAAGGCCTCAGCCTAGCAACAAAACCTCAGCCTAGCAACAAGGCCCCGTCAGCCTCGCAACAAGGCCTCAGCCTAGCAACAAAACCTCCTCAGCCTAGCAACAAGGCCTCAGCCTCGTAACAAGGCCTCCTCAGCCTAGCAACAAGGCCCCCTCAGCCTAGTAACAAGGCCCCCTCAGCCTAGCAACAAGGCCTCAGACTAGCAACAAGGCCTCCTCAGCCTAGTAACAAGGCCTCAGCCTAGCAACAAGGCCTCAGCCTAGCAACAAAACCTCCTCAGCCTAGCAACAAGGCCTCCTCAGCCTAGCAACAAGCGAGGACGAGCGAGATGAGCGAGGTGAGGGTGAGTGAGGTGAGTGAGGGTGAGCGAGGTGAGTGAGAGTGAGGGTGAGTGAGGGTGAGCGAGGTGATCGAGTGAGGTGAATGAGGGTGAGTGAGGTGAGTGAGGGTGAGTGAGGGTGAGTGAGGTGAGTGAGGGTGAGTGAGGTGAGGGTGAGTGAGGTGAGTGAAGTGAGTGAGGGTGACTGAGGTGAGTGAGGTGAATGAGGGTGAGCGAGGTGAGTGAGGTGAGTGAGGGTGAGTGAGGTGAGTGAGGTGAGTGAGGGTGAGTGAGGTGAGTGAGGGTGAGTGAGGTGAGTGAGGTGAATGAGGGTGAGCGAGGTGAGTGAGAGTGAGCGAGGGTGAGTGAGGTGAGTGAGGGTGAGTGAGGTGAGTGAGTGAGAGCGAGGTGAGTGAGTGAGAGCGAGGTGAGTGTGAGTGAGTGAGAGTGAGTGAGGGCTGACTGCTGGGCTCACTGGTCAATATTGAGGCGAGTCATGCTCATCCAGAGCGGGGGTGAGTGAGGTGAGTGAGAGTGAGTGAGAGTGAGGTGAGTGAGAGTGAGGGTGAGTGATGGTGAGTGAGAGTGAGCGAGCGAGGTGAGTGAGAGCGAGTGAGTGAGAGTGAGGGTGAGCGAGGTGAGGGTGAGTGAGAGTGAGCGAGCGAGGTGAGTGAGAGTGAGGGTGAGCGAGCGAGGTGAGTGAGGGCGAGGGTGAGGGTGAGTGAGTGAGAGTGAGGGTGAGCGAGCGAGGTGAGTGAGGGTGAGTGAGTGAGGTGAGTGAGGGCGAGGGTGAGGGTGAGTGAGCGAGGTGAGGGTGAGCGAGCGAGGTGAGTGAGGGTGAGCGAGGTGAGTGAGTGAGTGTGAGGGTGAGTGAGTGAGAAGTGAGGGTGAGCGAGCGAGGGTGAGTGAGGGCGAGGGTGAGGGTGAGTGAGTGAGAGTGAGGGTGAGGGTGAGCGAGGTGAGCGAGCGAGGTGAGGGTGAGTGAGTGAGAGCGAGGTGAGGGTGAGTGAGGGTGAGTGAGGGTGAGTGAGAGCGAGGTGAGTGAGGGTGAGCGAGGTGAGTGAGGGTGAGTGAGGGTGAGCGAGCGGGGTGAGTGAGTGAGAGTGAGTGAGAGCGAGGGTGAGTAAGTTTGAGTGAGGGTGAGTGTGAGTGAGTGCGAGTGAGTGAGAGCTGACTGCTGGGCTCACTGGTCAATGTTGAGGCGCGTCATGCTCATCCAGAGCGGGGGTGAGCGAGGTGAGTGAGAGTGAGTGAGGGTGAGTGAGAGTGAGGTGAGTGAGAGTGAGGGTGAGTGAGTGTGAGTGAGGGTGAGCGAGTGTGAGTGAGGGTGAGTGAGTGTGAGTGAGGGTGAGCGAGGTGAGTGAGAGCGAGTGAAAGTGAGGTGAGCGAGCGAGGTGAGGGTGAGTGAGGTGAGGGTGAGCGAGCGACTTGAGTGAGAGCGAGGTGAGTGAGGTGAGTGAGTGTGAGTGAGTGAGTGAGTGTGAGTGAGTGAGTGTGAGTGAGTGAGTGTGAGTGAGTGAGTGTGAGTGAGTGTGAGTGAGTGAGTGAGAGTGAGTGAGTGTGAGTGAGTGTGAGTGAGTGAGTAAGTGTGAGTGAGTGAGTGTGAGTGAGTGAGTGTGAGTGAGTGAGTGAGTGTGAGTTAGTGTGAGTGAGTGAGTGTGAATGAGTGAGTGTGAGTGAGTGAGTGTGAGTGAGTGAGTGTGAGTGAGTGAGTGTGAGTGAGTGAGTGTGAGTGAGTTAGTGTGAGTGAGTGAGTGTGAGTGAGTGAGTGTGAGTGAGTGTGAGTGAGTGAGTGTGAGTGAGTTAGTGTGAGTGAGTGAGTGTGAGTGAGAGCTGACTGCTGGGCTCACTGGTCAATATTGAGGCGCGTCATGCTCATCCAGAGTGAGGGTGAGCGAGGTGAGTGAGGTGAGCGAGGTGAGGGTGAGCGAGCGAGGTGAGTGAGGGTGAGCGGGGGTGAGCGAGGTGAGCGATGTGAGGGTGAGCGAGCGAGGTGAGTGAGGGCGAGGTGAGGGTGAGTGAGTGATAGTGAGTGAGAGTGAGGGTGAGTGAGTGAGAGTGAGTGAGAGTGAGGGTGAGCGAGGGTGAGTGAGAGTGAGTGAGAGTGAGGGTGAGCGAGGGTGAGTGAGAGTGAGTGAGAGTGAGTGTGAGTGAGTGAGTGTGAGTGAGTGAGTGTGAGTGAGTGAGAGTGAGTGAGAGCTGACTGCTGGGCTCACTGGTCAATATTGAGGCGAGTCATGCTCATCCAGAGCGGGGGGTGAGCGAGGTGAGTGAGATGAGTGAGAGTGAGGGTGAGTGAGGGTGAGTGAGAGTGAGGGTGAGTGAGTGAGAGTGAGTGAGGGTGAGCGAGCGAGGTGAGTGAGAGCGAGTGAGTGAGAGTGAGGGTGAGCGAGGTGAGGGTGAGTGAGAGTGAGCGAGCGAGGTGAGTGAGAGCGAGGGTGAGCGAGCGAGGTGAGTGAGGGCGAGGGTGAGGGTGAGTGAGTGAGAGTGAGGGTGAGCGAGGTGAGCGAGCGAGGTGAGGGTGAATGAGTGAGAGCGAGGTGAGGGTGAGTGAGGGTGAGTGAGAGCGAGGTGAGTGAGGGTGAGCGAGGTGAGTGAGGGTGAGTGAGGGTGAGCGAGCGGGTGAGTGAGTGAGAGTGAGTGAGAGCTGACTGCTGGGCTCACTGGTCAATATTGAGGCGCGTCATGCTCATCCACAGCGGGGGTAGATCGTCGAACTGGAAGGTGTAGATAGCGATGAGTACCATCATGGTGTAGGACACCACCACCACCCAGAACCACTTGAGCACGCGGCGCCACAGGGAGTAGTACACCTGAGCGGGACACACACACACAGGTAAAGTCGGGACAGTCGCAAACAAGCAAACAGCAAGAGCCGCATACCCCGTTAATGATCAGTGCCGTACCTCATTGCAGAGCAACTCAGGCACTACACTACACTATACACTATACTACTATACACTACACACTACACTACTATACACTACACTATACACTACACTATACACTACTATACACTATACACTACACTATACACTACACTATACACTACACTATACACTACACTATACACTATTATACACTACACTACTACACTATACACTACACACTACACTACTATACACTACACTATACACTACTATACACTACACTATACACTACACTATACACTACTATACACTACTCTATACACTACACACTACACTACTATACACTACTCTATACACTACACACTACACTACTATACACTACACTCTACACTATGCACTACACTATACACTACACTATACACTACACTATACACTACACACTACTACACTATATTATACAATACACTACTATACACTACACTATACACTACTCGCTACACTATACACTACTAAACACTGCGTGTTTCCGACACACCACACCAGGTACTCATTTGAGGCTGGTGGGTGGTGTTGGTGGGTGGTGGGTGGCAGTGGGTGGTGGGTGGCAGTGGGTGGTGGGTGGGTGGTGGGTGGCGGTGGCTGGTGGGTGGCAGTGGGTGGCAGTGGGTGGTGGGTGGGTAGCGGTGGGTGGTGGGTGGCAGTGGGTAGTGGGTGGGTAGCGGTGGGTGGTGGTGGGTGGCAGTGGGTGGCGGTGGGTGGTGGGTGGCAGTGGGTGGCAGTGAATGGCGGTGGGTGGTGGGTGGCAGTAGGTAGTGGGTGGCAGTGGGTGGTGGGTGGTGGGTGGCGGTGGGTGGCAGTGGATGGCAGTGGGTGGCGGTGGGTGGTGGGTGGCAGTAGGTGGCAGTGGGTGGTGGGTGGCGGTGGCTGGTGGGTGGCAGTGGGTGGTGGGTGGCGGTGGCTGGTGGGTGGCAGTGGGTGGTGGTGGCAGTTGCTGGTGGTGGGTGGGTGGCCCAATCTGGACCACTGGACGGGTTCCGCAGGATTGGAAGGATGCCCTGGTGGTGGTCCCCCTCTTTAAGAAGGGGGACCGCACAGACTGTAACAACTACAGGGGCATCTCACTCCTCAGTGTGCCGGGAAAGGTCCTGGCAAGGATTATTCAACATCGCCTTGCCAGGCATGCTGAGGAGATGCTTGCGGAGCCCCAATGCGGTTTCAGGAAAGGGTGGTCCTGGACAGATGCCATATTTTCTGTCCGTCTGCTACAGCAGAGGTGTAGGGAATTCCAACAAGACCTACATCTCTGCTTTATTGACCTGGTCAAGGCCTATGATACCATCAGTAGGCCTGGGCTCTGGGTTGTTCTTCGTGCTTTTGGAGTCCCTGACCCTCTGCTCACGATCATTAAGGACCTTCGTGATGGTGAGCGGGCCCGGGTAAAACTATGTGGCCGGGAATCAGAGCCATTCCCTGTACACCTTGGGGTGCGACAGGGATGTCCTCTGGCTCCCACATTATTTAACATATATTTTGACCACGTAGTTCGTGAAGCCTTCCAATAGCTGTAACGGGGGAATCTCCATTTGGTACAGATATATTGGGAGGCTGATCGATGCCGGGGTGCGGTCAAGGGATGGGTCCCTATTGCTCAACCACGTTATGTATGCCGATGATTTGGTAATAGCTGCTCATTCAGAGGCGGAGTTGGAGACGCTGCTGGTGAGACTGGAGCGTGCCACTAAGAGATGGGGCCTTACCATCAGCCCCACCAAAACTAAGCATCTGCCTGGGTATTTTGTACCATCGGACACTCCACCCCCACAACTCCCAATCGGTGATGGTGCAGTTGTGGAGAGAGTGGAGAGTTTCCCATACCTGGGCAGTGTGCTTATGACCGGCACCAGTTTAACAGCAGAGGTCTCACTCCGAATCAGTCGAGCGGCAATATCTTTTCATCGGTTGCGTAACGCTGTGTGGAAGCTACCTGGTCTGTCGCTCCGCACTAAGCTTCAGGTCTTCTCGGCCACGGTCATTCCCTCCCTTCTCTACGCTTGCGAAACGTGGACCCCCTTAATGGAGCATCTTCGCCGGTTGGAAACATTTAGGCTTGCCTGCCTACGATCCATCCTGGGGTTAACCAGGCTGGATTGTGTGAGGAGCTCACAAATCCTTGAAAGATCTGGGCAAAGTCCCATCGGTGAGCTCCTCCGGTGGGCAAGGCTGCGTTGGCTGGGTCATGTAGCCCGCATGCCCAGCATGGCGAAACAGCTTTTGTTCGGCCGGATCGAGGGGGCTAGACGGGCGCGGCACGGGCTAGAGAAGAGATGGAGTGATGTGGTACAGGAGGACGTGGAGCTGAGTGGACTTGCCGATGACTGGTACCAGCGGTGTCAAGATCGGCCTCTGCGGAGGAGGCTCGCGAAGGACGCTACTGGGCAGTTGGAGGCAGTCGCCCTCCAACAACAACGGAGGGCGGAGGAGCGACGCTCACAACAACGAGCGGAGTGCCGGGTGGCTAAAGCACAGCAGGTTGGCACAGTAGGGGGCACAGGTGGTGCACCAGCCAGTCATCTCAGTCGACCCGTGGCACCTGCTGGGTCTGCCCCGTGACCTCCTGCCAGCGGGCGTTCGACACTTCACGTGGCCTCAGGGTGCACATGGCCTGGCACAAGCGTCGTGGTGACGTCACCGCCACTTAGTGGCGAATGGCGGTTGTCGTTGTTGTTGTGTGGGTGGCAGTGTGTGGTGGGTGGCAGTGGGTGGGTGGTGGTGGGGTGACGGTGCCGGTGCCGGGCGGCTACCTGGTAGAGCGCCACGCAGGAGAGGAACAGCACCATGTAGATAATCTTGTAGACCACCATACGTCCCTCGAGGCTCACGAAGAAGAACATCCCCCCGCACACGTAGATCCAGTACTTGATGAAGACGCCCATCACCATGCCGCCGATCATCCGCACCACCACGCTCTCCTTCTCGCCCTTCAGCTCTGCGGGGAACGGCCACGCACGCACACACACACACAAAACAAAGATACAAAGATCCCCCATATAGCCTTAACAGACTGTAGGGGCAAGTGCTGTTAGCGAGCACCTATGAAGGCCGGAACGGTACACGAGGGGGTGGGTGGCCAGCACCACGCCCGACCGCCTTTGTCTCCCTAGTGGCAATGTTTACACACCGCACCAGGTACTCATTTGAGGCTGAGTCGACCTAGGGGAGGCCCGGGACTGGTTCAGATAATCGTCACTGGTGTTGGCCGTGAGCGGGAATCGAACCTGGGTCGCCAGGTTCATAGCGCAGCGTAGCGCTAACCGCCACACTATCGCTCCCCACACACACGCACACACACACACACGCACACACACACGCACGCACACACACACACACACGAACGCACACACACACACACGCACGCACACACACGCACGTACACGCACACACGCATGCACACACACACACACGAACGCAAGCATAGCAACGCGCACGCACGCACACGCACGCACGCAGCAGAGGCAGGCTTTTGCTTCAGGCATTGCAGGTGAAGTGGCCAGATGTTTACAGCCGTTATGAATTTCCACGCGATGATGACGATGATGACGATAATGACGATGATGACAATGATGATGACGATGACAATGATGACGATAACAATGATGACGATGATGACGATGATGATGACAATGATGACGATAATGACAATGATAACGATGATGACAATGATGACAACGATAATGACAATGATAACGATGATGACGATGATGACAACGATGATGACTGATGACAATGGTGACGATGATAACGGTGATAACGATGATGACGATGATGACAACGATGATGAAAATGATAACGATGATGACGATGATGACGACGATGATAACGATGATAACGATGATGACAATGATGATGACAGTGATGATGACAACGATGACAATGATGATAACGATGATAATAATGATGATGACAATGATGATGACGATGATGACAATGATGATTTTTACGATGATGACGATGATGACGATGATGACGATGACGACGATGACGATGATGACGATGACGATGACGACGATGATTGATGACAATGATGATGACAACGATGATGACAATGATGACGATGATGACGATAACGATGACAATGATGACGATGATAACGACGACAATGATGACAATGATGATGACGATGAGCCACTTGGTTGAACTGCTTTTATTTGCGATGGCCCAGATCACTTATAAAAAAAAAAAACAGAGCTACAACACAGCAGCTGAGCGGGGGGTCAGCTTAGCTTGTAAAATAAAAACACTCACAATAGTTTCACTTATATCGTTTATCTATTTAAAAAATAACAAAGCCCCGTGGCCCCATGCCCTGTGGCCCCGTGGCCCCCTGCCCCCGTGACCCCGTGGCCCCTTGGCCTCCTGCCCCGTGACCCCGTGGCCTTGTGGCCCCATGTCCCCCTGCCCCCGTGACCCCGTGACCCCGTGACCCCGTGACCCCCGTCCCACCTGCTTCCTCCGCTGCGGCCATGCCCGTCTGCACCATGAGCTCGTTCTTGCGCTCGGCACGCCGCTCCGTGATGAACTGGCGCAAGAGCACCCAGAACGTCAGCGTGTAGAGCAGCTGGCCAGGGTCACGTGGGGGAGAGAGACACACGGCTGGGTCAGCGTGTAGAGCAGCTGGCCAGGGTCACGTGGGGGAGGAGGAGAGAGACACACGGCTGGGTCAGCGTGTAGAGCAGCTGGCCAGGGTCACGTGGGGGAGAGAGACACACGGCTGGGTCAGCGTGTAGAGCAGCTGGCCAGGGTCACGTGGGGGAGGAGGAGAGAGACACACGGCTGGGTCAGCGTGTAGAGCAGCTGGCCAGGGTCACGTGGGGGAGGGGGAGAGACACACGGCTGGGTCAGCGTGTAGAGCAGCTGGCCAGGGTCACGTGGGGGAGAGAGACACACGGCTGGGTCAGCGTGTAGAGCAGCTGGCCAGGGTCACGTGGGGAGGGGGAGAGAGACACACGGCTGGGTCAGCGTGTAGAGCAGCTGGCCAGGGTCACGTGGGGAGGGGGAGAGAGACACACGGCTGGGTCAGCGTGTAGAGCAGCTGGCCAGGGTCACGTGGGGAGGGAGAGAGACACACGGCTGGGTCAGCGTGTAGAGCAGCTGGCCAGGGTCACGTGGGGGAGAGAGACACACGGCTGGGTCAGCGTGTAGAGCAGCTGGCCAGGGTCACGTGGGGGAGGGGGAGAGACACACGGCTGGGTCAGCGTGTAGAGCAGCTGGCCAGGGTCACGTGGGGAGGGGGAGAGACACACGGCTGGGTCAGCGTGTAGAGCAGCTGGCCAGGGTCACGTGGGGAGGGGGAGAGAGACACACGGCTGGGTCAGGGTGTAGAGCAGCTGGCCAGGGTCACGTGGGGGAGGGGGAGAGAGACACACGGCTGGGTCAGCGTGTAGAGCAGCTGACCAGGGTCACGTGGGGGAGGGGGGGGGAGAGACACACGGCTGGGTCGGCGTGTAGAGCAGCTGGCCAGGGTCACGTGGGGAGGGGGGGAGACACACGGCTGGGTCAGCGTGTAGAGCAGCTGGCCAGGGTCACGTGGGGAGGGAGAGAGACACACGGCTGGGTCAGCGTGTAGAGCAGCTGGCCAGGGTCACGTGGGGAGGGGGAGAGACACACGGCTGGGTCAGCGTGTAGAGCAGCGGGCCAGGGTCACGTGGGGAGGGGGAGAGACACACGGCTGGGTCAGCGTGTAGAGCAGCTGGCCAGGGTCACGTGGGGAGGGGGGAGAGAGACACACGGCTGGGTCAGCGTGAAGAGCAGCTGGCCAGGGTCACGTGGGGAGGGAGAGAGACACACGGCTGGGTCAGCGTGTAGAGCAGCTGGCCAGGGTCACGTGGGGAGGGGGAGAGAGACACACGGCTGGGTCAGCGTGTAGAGCAGCTGGCCAGGGTCACGTGGGGGAGAGAGGCACATGGCTGGGTCAGCGTGTAGAGCAGCTGGCCAGGGTCACGTGGGGGAGGGGGAGAGAGAGACACGGCTGGGTCAGCGTGTAGAGCAGCTGGCCAGGGTCACGTGGGGAGGGGGAGAGACACACGGCTGGGTCAGCGTGTAGAGCAGCTGGCCAGGGTCACGTGGGGGAGAGAGACACACGGCTGGGTCAGGGTGTAGAGCAGCTGGCCAGGGTCACGTGGGGAGGGGGAGAGAGACACACGGCTGGGTCAGCGTGTAGAGCAGCTGGCCAGGGTCAAGTGGGGGAGGGGGGGAGAGACACACGGCTGGGTCAGCGTGTAGAGCAGCTGGCCAGGGTCACGTGGGGAGGGGGAGAGACACACGGCTGGGTCAGCGTGTAGAGCAGCTGGCCAGGGTCACGTGGGGGAGGGGGGAGAGAGACACACGGCTGGGTCAGCGTGTAGAGCAGCTGGCCAGGGGCACGTGGGGGAGGGGGGGAGAGACACACGGCTGGGTCAGCGTGTAGAGCAGCTGGCCAGGGTCACGTGGGGAGGGGGAGAGAGACACACGGCTGGGTCAGCGTGTAGAGCAGCTGGCCAGGGTCACGTGGGGAGGGGGAGAGAGACACACGGCTGGGTCAGCGTGTAGAGCAGCTGGCCAGGGTCACGTGGGGAGGGGGAGAGAGAGACACGGCTGGGTCAGCGTGTAGAGCAGCTGGCCAGGGTCACGTGGGGAGGGGGAGAGAGACACACGGCTGGGTCAGCGTGTAGAGCAGCTGGCCAGGGTCACGTGGGGGAGAGAGACACACGGCTGGGTCAGCGTGTAGAGCAGCTGGCCAGGGTCACGTGGGGAGGGGGAGAGAGACACACGGCTGGGTCAGCGTGTAGAGCAGCTGGCCAGGGTCACGTGGGGGAGGGGGAGAGACACACGGCTGGGTCAGCGTGTAGAGCAGCTGGCCAGGGTCACGTGGGGAGGGAGAGAGACACACGGCTGGGTCAGCTTGTAGAGCAGCTGGCCAGGGTCACGTGGGGAGGGAGAGAGACACACGGCTGGGTCAGCGTGTAGAGCAGCTGGCCAGGGTCACGTGGGGGAGGGGGAGAGAGACACACGGCTGGGTCAGCGTGTAGAGCAGCTGGCCAGGGTCACGTGGGGAGGGGGAGAGACACACGGCTGGGTCAGCGTGTAGAGCAGCTGGCCAGGGTCAAGTGGGGGAGAGAGACACACGGCTGGGTCAGCGTGTAGAGCAGCTGGCCAGGGTCACGTGGGGGAGAGAGACACACGGCTGGGTCAGGGTGTAGAGCAGCTGGCCAGGGTCACGTGGGGGAGGGGGAGAGAGACACACGGCTGGGTCAGCGTGTAGAGCAGCTGGCCAGGGTCACGTGGGGAGGGGGAGAGAGCCACACGGCTGGGTCAGCGTGTAGAGCAGCTGGCCAGGGTCACGGGGGGAGGGGGAGAGACACACGGCTGGGTCAGCGTATAGAGCAGCTGGCCAGGGTCACGTGGGGGAGGGGGGGAGAGACACACGGCTGGGTGAGTGAGTGAGTGGGTGAGTGAGTGAGTGGGTGAGTGAGTGGGTGAGTTATGGAGTGACTGAATGAGTCATTGGGTGGGTGGGTGAGTGAGTGGGTGACTGAGTGAGTGAGTGGGTGACTGAGTTAGGGAGTGACTGAATGAGTCAGTGGGTGGGTGGGTGAGTGAGTGACTGAGTGCGTGAGTGGGTGACTGAGTGGGTGACTGAGTGGGTGAGTGACTGAGTAGGTGACTGACTGTGTGAGTGAATGAGTGAGTGGGTGGGTGGGTGAGTGAGTGAGTGAGCGAGTGACTGACTGAATGAGTGAGTGGGTGGGTGATTTATTGACTGAGTGAGTGACTGAGTAGGTGAGTGACTGAGTTAGGGAGTGACTGACTGAGTGGGTGGGTGAGTGGGTAAATGAGTGAGTGACTGAGTGGGGGAATGAGTGAGCGAGTGACTGAGCGAGTGAGTGAGTGGGTTACTGAGTGAGTGACTGAGTGGGTGAATGAGTGAGCGAGTGACTGAGCGAGTGAGTGAGTGGACGAGCGAGTGACTGAGTGGGTGAATGAGTGAGTTAGGGAGTGACTGACTGAGTGAGTGGTTGAGTGAGTGGGTGGGTGAGTGGGTGACTGAGTGAGTGACTGAGTGGGTGAATGAGTGAGCGAGTGAGTGAGTGGACGAGCGAGTGACTGAGTGGGTGAATGAGTGAGTTAGGGAGTGACTGACTGAGTGAGTGTGTGGGTGAGTGGGTGGGTGAGTGGGTGACTGAGTGGGTGAATGAGTGAGCGAGTGACTGAGCGAGTGAGTGAGTGGACGAGCGAGTGACTGAGTGGGTGAATGAGTGAGTTAGGGAGTGACTGACTGAGTGGGTGGGTGAGTGAGTGGGTGGGTGAGTGGGTGACTGAGTGGGTGAATGAGTGAGTTAGGGAGTGACTGACTGAGTGGGTGAGTGGACGAGCGAGTGACTGAGTGGGTGAATGAGTGAGTTAGGGAGTGACTGACTGAGTGGGTGGGTGAGTGAGTGGGTGGGTGAGCGGGTGACTGAGTGGGTGAATGAGTGAGTTAGGGAGTGACTGACTGAGTGGGTGAGTGGACGAGCGAGTGACTGAGTGGGTGAATGAGCGAGCGAGCGACTGGCCGAGCTCGCTCGCGGTTAAAAACACAGCAGGCGCGTCCGTCGGGGATCGAGCGCTCTGCCCTCACCCCCCACCACCACCCCCACCCCCCACCCACCCCGCACGGCCTACCATGCTGCCCATGAAGGTGCAGTTGTTGTGAGACGCTGCCGGAGAGCATAGTCGCAGCACTCCGTGGTAGGCCGGCAGTTCGTCCGGCCGCAGCTCCAGAGACCAAACGTAGCGCAGGGTGCAGAGCGTTGTGGCGTACGCCACCAGCACCGGTGAACTACGCATGGCGTGGCGACGGCGGTCGCGCATCATCCACAGCACGCACGACCAGATGAGCAGGACGAAAGTCAGCCAGCTGTGGTCCGTGATGCTCCACGCCTGGGGGGGTTTGGGGGCGGGAGGAGAGTTGATCCCAGCTAGGGGGTTGCTTCCAGGTATTCTCGGTCGGCCGCTCGCTCACTCGCTCGCTCGCTCGCCCGCGCACCGGCCCACTCAGTCGCACACTCAGCCACTTACTCGTTCAACCACCTGTCCACTCGCTCGCTCACCCACTCACCCATCCATTCACCCACACCACACACTCACCCACTTACTCACTCATTCACCCGTCTGTCCACTCGCTCACTCACCCACCCGCCCATCCATTCACCCACACCACACACTCACCCACTCACCCACCCATCCACTCACCCACACCACACACCCACTTACTCATTCAACCGTCTGTCCACTCGCTCACTCGCCCACTCACCCACCCATCCATTCACCCACACCACACACTCACCCACTCACCCACACATCCATTCACCCACACCATACACTCACCCACTCACCCACCCATCCACTCACCCACACCACACACCCACTTACTCATTCAACCGTCTGTCCACTCGCTCACTCACCCACTCACCCAACCATCCATTCACCCACACCACACACTCACCCACTTACTCATTCACCCATCTGTCCACTCGCTCACGCACCCATTCACCCACCCACATCACACACTCACCCACATCACACACTCACCCACCCACTCACCCACCCACTCACCCACACACTCACCCACACCACACACTCACCCACTCACTCACCCACCAACCCACACACTCACCCACATCACACACTCACCCACCCACCTACCCACACACTCACCCACACCACACACTCACCCACTCACTCACCCACCAACCCACACACTCACCCACATCACACACTCACCCACCCACTCACCCACCCACTCACCCACACACTCACCCACACCACACACTCACCCACTCACTCACCCACCAACCCACACACTCACCCACATCACACACTCACCCACCCACCTACCCACACACTCACCCACACCACACACTCACCCACTCACTCACCCACCAACCCACACACTCACCCACATCACACACTCACCCACCCACTCACCCACCCACTCACCCACACACTCACCCACACCACACACTCACCCACTCACTCACCCACCAACCCACACACTCACCCACTCGCCCATCCACCCACCCACTCGCCCACCCACTCGCCCACCCACCCACCCACTCACCACCCACCCACATCACACACTCACCCACCCACATCACACACCCACACACTCACCCACACCACACACACCCACACCACACACTCACCCACTCACACACCCACCCACTCACCACCCACCCACATCACACACCCACCCACCCACTCACCCACCCACTCGCCCACCCACCCACTCACCACCCACCCACATCACACACACCCACGCACCCACACACTCGCCCACCCACTCACCACCCACCCACTCACCACCCACCCACATCACATACACCCACGCACCCAAACACTCGCCCACCCACTCACCACCCACCCACATCACACACCCACCCACCCACTCACCACCCACCCACCCACCCACATCAGACACTCACCACCCACCCACACCACCCACCCACCCACTCACCCACATCACACACCCACCCACCCACATCAGACACTCACCACCCACCCACACCACCCACCCACCCACTCACCCACATCACACACCCACCCACCCACATCACACACCCACTCACCACCCACCCACATCAGACACTCACCATCATAGCGATGAGGGCACAAACATAACTCTGCTTCATCACGAACTTGGCCACGGCCACTAGGTGATGCTTCAGCCGCTCCACGGTCCCCTTCGCCTTCTCTGCGCGCGGACACAGACACACACAGACAAAGGTGACCCGTGTAGCCTTCACACACTGCTGGGGCAAGTGCTGTGAGTAGCAGAAGTGCCTATAGACACACACAGACAAAGGTCCCCCGTGTAGACTTAACAGACTGCTGGGGCAAGTGCTGTGAGTAGCGCCTGTAGACACACACAGACAAAGGTGTCCCGTGTAGCCTTAACAGACTGCTGGGGCAAGTGCTGTGAGTAGCGCCTATAGACACACACAGACAAAGGTGTCCCGTGTAGCCTTAACAGACTGCTGGGGCAAGTGCTGTGAGTAGTGCCTATAGACACACAGACAAAGGTGCCCCGTGTAGCCTTAACAGACTGCTGGGGCAAGTGTTGTGAGTAGCGCCTATAGACACACAGACAAAGGTGTCCCGTGTAGCCTTAACACACTGCTGGGCAAGTGCTGTGAGCGGCGTCTGTAGACACACACAGACAAAGGTGACCCATGTAGCCTTAACAGACTGCTGGGGCAAGTGCTGTGAGTAGTGCCTATAGACACACAGACAAAGGTCCCCCGTGTAGCCTTAACAGACTGCTGGGGCAAGTGCTGTGAGCGGCGTCTGTAGACACACACGGACAAAGGTCCCCCGTGTAGCCTTAATAGACTGCTGGGGCAAGTGCTGTGAGTAGTGCCTATAGACACACACAGACAAAGGTGCCCCGTGTAGCCTTAACAGACTGCTGGGGCAAGTGCTGAGAGTAGTGCCTATAGACACACACAGACAAAGGTTCCCCGTGTAGCCTTAACAGACTGCTGGGGCAAGTGATGTGAGTAGCCTCTATATAGACACACACAGACAAAGGTCCCCCGTGTAGCCTTAACAGACTGCTGGGGCAAGTGCTGTGAGTAGTGCCTATAGACACACACAGACAAAGGTCCCACGTGTAGCCTTAACAGACTGCTGGGGCAAGTGTCGTGAGTAGTGCCTATAGACATCACACATGTCAATCACACCTGTCAATCACTCATCACACGTGTCAATCACACCTGTCAATCACTCATCACACCTGTCAATCACACCTGTCAATCACACATCACACCTGTCAATCACACATCACACCTGTCAATCACACATCACACCTGTCAATCACACATCACACCTGTCAATCACACCTGTCAATCACTCATCACACCTGTCAATCACACCTGACAATCACAAATCACACCTGTCAATCACACCTGTCAATCACTCATCACACCTGTCAATCACACATCATACCTGTCAATCACACCTGTCAATCACACATCACACCTGTCAATCACTCATCACACCTGTCAATCACACATCACACCTGTCAATCACACCTGTCAATCACGCATCACACCTGTCAAGCACACATCACACCTGTCAATCACTCATCACACCTGCCAATCACTCATCACACCTGTCAATCACACTTGTCAATCACACCTGTCAGTCACTCATTACACCTGTCATTCACTCAGCGTGGTGAGCGTGGTGAGTGTGGTGAGTGTGGTGGAGAGTGTGGTGAGCGTGGTGAGCGTGGTGAGCGTGGTACGTGGTGGTGAGTGTGGTGGTGAGTGTGGTGGTGAGCGTGTTACGTGTTGGAGGGTGGTGAGTGTAGTGAGTGTGGTGGGGAGCGTGGTGAGTGTGGTGGTGAGCGTGTTACGTGGTGGAGGGTGGTGAGTGTGGTGAGCGTGGTGAGTGTGGTGAGCGTGGTAGTGAGTGTGGTGGTGAGTGTGGTGGTGAGTGTGGTGGTGAGTGTGTTGGTGAGTGTGGTGGTGAGTGTGGTGAGGGTGGTGAGCGTGGTGGTGAGTGTGGTGGTGAGTGTGGTGGTGAGCGTGTTACGTGGTGGAGAGTGGATCAGGGGGTGAGTGTGGTGAGTGTGGTGGTGAGTGTGGTGGTGAGTGTGGTGGTGAGTGTGTTGGTGAGTGTGGTGGTGAGTGTGGTGAGTGTGGTGAGCGTGGTGGTGAGTGTGGTGGTGAGTGTGGTGGTGAGCGTGTTACGTGGTGGAGGGTGGTGAGTGTGGTGAGCGTGGTGAGTGTGGTGAGCGTGGTAGTGAGTGTGGTGGTGAGTGTGGTGGTGAGTGTGGTGGTGAGTGTGTTGGTGAGTGTGGTGGTGAGTGTGGTGAGGGTGGTGAGCGTGGTGGTGAGTGTGGTGGTGAGTGTGGTGGTGAGCGTGTTACGTGGTGGAGAGTGGATCAGGGGGTGAGTGTGGTGAGTGTGGTGGTGAGTGTGGTGGTGAGTGTGGTGGTGAGTGTGTTGGTGAGTGTGGTGGTGAGTGTGGTGAGTGTGGTGAGCGTGGTGGTGAGTGTGGTGGTGAGTGTGGTGGTGAGTGTGGTGGTGAGTGTGGTGGTGAGCGTGTTACGTGGTGGAGGGTGGATCAGGGGGTGAGTGTGGTGAGTGTGGTGAGTGTGGTGAGTGTGGTGAGTGTGGTGAGTGTGGTGGTGAGTGTGGTGGTGAGTGTGGTGAGTGTGGTGAGTGTGTTGGTGAGTGTGGTGAGTGTGGTGAGTGTGGTGGTGAGTGTGGTAAGTGTGGTGAGTATGTTGGTGAGTGTGGTGGTGAGTGTGTTGGTGAGTGTGGTGGTGAGTGTGGTGAGTGTGGTGAGTGTGGTGGTGAGTGTGTTGGTGAGTGTGGTGGTGAGTGTGGTGGTGAGTGTGTTGGTGAGTGTGGTGGTGAGTGTGGTGGTGAGTGTGTTGGTGAGTGTGTTACGTGGTGGAGGGTGGATCAGGGGGTGAGTCTCAGGGAAGGGATCCGCTGTCCGGCTGGACAGCTCCTCGCCCCCTCGCCCCCCATCGCTGTTGCCATGGGCGACGGCGGCGACGTGGTTGCCCTGGTTACCGTTGGCCGGCTGATACAGGGGCTGTGGACGGGAAGACAAACGGCGAGTGAGTCTGTGGGTCTCTGTGTGGTCAGTCTGTGGGTCTCTGTGTGGTGAGTCTGTGGGTCTCTGTGTGGTGAGTCTGTGGGTCTCTGTGTGGTGAGTCTATGGGTCTCTGTGTGGTGAGTCTGTGGGTCTCTGTGTGGTGAGTCTATGGGTCTCTGTGTGGTGAGTCTATGGGTCTCTGTGTGGTGAGTCTATGGGTCTCTGTGTGATGAGTCTGTGGGTCTCTGTATGATGAGTCTGTGGGTCTCTGTGTGATGAGTCTGTGGGTCTCTGTGTGATGAGTCTATGGGTCTCTGTGTGGTGAGTCTATGGGTCTCTGTGTGGTGAGTCTATGGGTCTCTGTGTGATGAGTCTGTGGGTCTCTGTGTGATGAGTCTATGGGTCTCTGTGTGGTGAGTCTGTGGGTCTCTGTGTGGTGAGTCTGTGGGTCTCTGTGTGGTGAGTCTATGGGTCTCTGTGTGGTGAGTCTGTGGGTCTCTGTGTGGTGAGTCTGTGGGTCTCTGTGTGGTGAGTCTGTGGGTCTCTGTGTGGTGAGTCTGTGGGTCTCTGTGTGGTGAGTCTGTGGGTCTCTGTGTGATAAGTCTATGGGTCTCTGTGTGGTGAGTCTGTGGGTCTCTGTGTGGTGAGTCTGTGGGTCTCTGTGTGGTGAGTCTATGGGTCTCTGTGTGGTGAGTCTGTGGGTCTCTGTGTGGTGAGTCTGTGGGTCTCTGTGTGGTGAGTCTGTGGGTCTCTGTGTGGTGAGTCTGTGGGTCTCTGTGTGGTGAGTCTGTGGGCCTCTGTGTGATAAGTCTATGGGTCTCTGTGTGGTGAGTCTGTGGGTCTCTGTGTGGTGAGTCTATGGGTCTCTGTGTGGTGAGTCTATGGGTCTCTGTGTGGTGAGTCTATGGGTCTCTGTGTGGTGAGTCTATGGGTCTCTGAGTGGTGAGTCTGTGGGTCTCTGTGTGGTGAGTCTGTGGGTCTCTGTGGGTCTCTGTGTGGTGAGTCTATGGGTCTCTGTGTGATGAGTCTATGGGTCTCTGTGTGGTGAGTCTAGGGGTCTCTCTGTGTGGTGAGTCTATGGGTCTCTGTGTGGTGAATCTATGGGTCTCTCTGTGTGATGAGTCTGTGGGTCTCTGTGTGCTGGAGGAGTGCGAGGAGGAGGAGGTGGAGGAGGTGGAGGAGGAGGTGGAGGAGGAGGAGTCACTGACGTTGTCAACGTTGACGATGGTGACGAGGTGCTCTCGGGAGTCATAGAGTGGCTGCGAATGAGACACACAGACAGAGACAAAGGTCCCCCGTATAGCCTGCAGCAGACTCTCGGGGGGGCAAGTGCTGTTAGCGAGCGAGCGCCTACGAAGTCCGGCACGGCACGCGAGCGGGTGGTTGGCCAGCGCCACGCCCGGCCGCCTTTGTCTCCCCGTTCGCGATGCTCGCTACTACCACCGCTACTACCACCACCACCACCACCTACTACTGCTACTACACACCGCACCAGGTGCTCGCTTCGAGTCGACGTGGGGGTTGGGGGGTTAGGCCCAGGGCCGGCGAGGATCTTTCGACGGCGTCGATCGCGGTGAGCGGGAATGGAACTCGGGCAGCCTGGGTTGGTAGCGCAGCGCGATAACCCCTGGGCGTCTCTCCCTGTGCGTGTGTTTGTGTCCGCCTCGGTCTCCCCGTGTCTCTCGCCGTGTCCACACGTGTCTCGCTGTGTCCACACGTGTCTCGCCGTGTCCACACGTGTCTCGCCGTGTCTCACACGTGTCCACACGTGTCTCCCTGTGTGTGTGTGTGTGTCCGCCTCTGTCTCACTGTGTGTCTCGCCGTGTCCACACGTGTCTCCCGGTGTCTCACCGTGTCCACACGTGTCTCGCCGCCACGTCTCATCGTGTCCACACGTGTCTCCCTGTGTGTGTGTCCGCCTTTGTCTCCCCGTGTCTCGCCGTGTCCACACGTGTCTCCCCGTGTCTCCCCGTGTCCACACGTGTCCACACGTATCTCCCCGTTGTCTCCCCGTGTCCACACGTGTCTCGCCGTGTCTCCCCGTGTCCACACGTGTCTCCCGGTGTCTCATCGTGTCCCCACGTGTCCCCACGTATCTCCCTGTGTCCCCACGTTTCTCACCGTATCTCCCCGTATCACCAAGTGTCCCCCCCCCCACGTGTCTCCCCGTGTCCCCACGTGTCTCCACGTGTCTCCTCGTATCACCAAGTGTCCACCCCCCCCCCCCGTATCTCCACGTGTCTCCGCGTATCTCCCCGTGTCTCCCCGTATCTCCCCGTGTCCCCCCGTGTCTCCACGTGTCTCCACGTGTCTCCTCGTATCACCAAGTGTCCCCCCCCCACGTGTCTCCACGTGTCTCCTCGTATCACCAAGTGTCCACCCCCCCCCCCCCCCCCGTATCTCCACGTGTCTCCGCGTATCTCCCCGTGTCTCCCCGTATCTCCCCGTGTCCCCCCGTGTCTCCACGTGTCTCCACGTGTCTCCTCGTATCACCAAGTGTCCACCCCCCCCCCGTATCTCCACGTGTCTCCCCGTATCCCCACGTGTCTCCGCGTGTCTCCCCGTGTCTCCCCGTATCTCCCCGTGTCTCCCCGTATCTCCCCGTATCTCCCCGTGTCTCCCCGTGTCTTCCCGTGTCTCCACGTGTCTCCCCGTATCTCCCCGTATCTCCGCGTGTCTCCCCGTGTCTCCCCGTATCTCCACGTGTCTCCCCGTATCTCCACGTGTCTCCCCGTGTCTCCCCGTATCTCCACGTGTCTCTCCGTATCTCCACGTGTCTCCCCGTATCTCCACGTGTCTCCCCGTATCTCCCCGTATCTCCACGTGTCTCCCCGTATCTCCACGTGTCTCCCCGTATCCCCACGTGTCTCCGCGTGTCTCCCCGTGTCTCCCCGTATCTCCCCGTGTCTCCCCGTATCTCCCCGTATCTCCCCGTGTCTCCCCGTGTCTCCACGTGTCTCCCCGTATCTCCCCGTGTCTCCGCGTGTCTCCCCGTGTCTCCCCGTATCTCCCCGTGTCTCCCCGTATCTCCCCGTATCTCCCCGTGTCTCCCCGTGTCTCCACGTGTCTCCCCGTATCTCCCCGTGTCTCCGCGTGTCTCCCCGTGTCTCCCCGTGTCTCCACGTGTCTCCCCGTATCTCCCCGTGTCTCCGCGTGTCTCCCCGTGTCTCCCCGTATCTCCCCGTGTCTCCCCGTATCTCCCCGTATCTCCACGTGTCTCCCCGTGTCTCCGCGTGTCTCCCCGTATCTCCACGTGTCCCCGCGTGTCTCCACGTGTCTCCCCGTATCTCCACGTGTCTCCCCGTGTCTCCGCGTGTCTCCCCGTATCTCCGCGTGTCTCCGCGTGTCTCCCCGTATCTCCCCGTGTCTCCGCGTGTCTCCCCCGTGTCCCCGCCGTGTCCCCGCCGCGTCTCCACCCGACGTGTCTCCTCCGTACCTTCGTCTCGTCCACGGACGTGTAGGCCTCCTGGACGTCCCCGCGTCTCCCCTCCTGGGCGTCCCCGCCGTGTCTCCCCTCCTGGGCGTCCCCGCCGTGTCTCCCCTCCTGGGCGTCCCCTCCGTGTCTCCCCTCCTGGGTGTCCCCGTGCCTCTCGCGGAGTCTCGCCGCCGCTGCAAACTCCTCCAGCATGAGCTCCTCCTCCGACGGGATGGCTCGAGGCCACATGGTGACCCGCTGACCCCCAGGGGTCACGGGGGCGGGTGGGAGGTCATGGGGAGAGTGTGGCGAGGTCATGGGGGGATCATTGCGGGGTCACGGAGGGGTTACGGGGGGGGGGGGGGGTGGTCACGGAGGTCACATGGTTCACATGGGGTTATGTGGGATCACGGCGGGGTCATGGGGGGTAGGGGGGTCACGGTGGGGAGGTCACGGGGGAGGTGGTCACATGGGGGTCACGGGGAGAGTCACGTGGTGGTGGTGGTGGGAGGCCACACGCTTCTCGCCGCTGGGCGGCTCGGTAGTTCTGTCGCTGAATGTGGCGGGGGTGCCGCTCACGGCCGTGACACGGTGGTGGTGGCGGTGGTGGTGGTGGTGGCGGTGGTGGTGATGGTGGTGGTGGCGGTGGTGGCGGTGGTGGCGGTGGTGGTGGTGACGGCGGTGGTGGTGGTGGTGATGGTGGTGGCGGTGGTGGCGGTGACGGCGGTGGTGGTGGCGGTGGTGGTGGTTGTGGTGGTGGTGGTGGCCACGTTGGGGCGAGCGCATGGCGAGCGAACGCGTGGTGAGTGAGCGAGTGTGTGGTGAAGGAGCGAGCGAGCGTGTGGTGAGCGAGCGAGGGAGCGAGGGAGCGCGTGGTGAGCGAGCGGTGAGCGAGCGAGCGAGTGCATGGTGAGCGAGTGCATGGTGAGCGAGGGAGCGAGTGGCGATCGAGCGGTGAGCGAGCGAGTGGTGAGCGAGCGGGGGAGCGAGCGGTGAGCGAACGAGCGAGCGCGTGGCGATCGAGTGGTGAGCGGCCGAGCGAGAGTCTCCTCACCGCGGTGTGCGAGTCGTGCAGCCACAGGCGGGTGAGCGTGGCGAGGGTGAAGTAGAGTAGCAGCACGAGGGCCGGGTTGACATACGCCACCCAGTGGAGGTCCCGGTCCAGGTTGAGCTCCCAGGCGCTGCTGCACTGAGGCCTCACCACCGCCTTGAGGCCCAGCAGCCTTCGGCGGTGGGGGGGCAGTAGGGGGGCAGAGTCAGATGTGAGCGTGTGTGGTGAGTCTACGGGTCTCTCTGTGGTGAGTCTGTGGGTCTCTGTGTGGTGAGTCTGTGGGTCTCTGTGTGGTGAGTCTGTGGGTCTCTCTGTGTGGTGAGTCTGTGGGTCTCTGTGTGGTGAGTCTATGGGTCTCTGTGTGGTGAGTCTACGGGTCTCTCTGTGTGGTGAGTCTGCGGGTCTCTGTGTGGTGAGTCTATGGGTCTCTGTGTGGTGAGTCTATGGGTCTCTGTGTGGTGAGTCTATGGGTCTCTGTGTGAGTATATGGGTGTCTGTGTGGTGAGTCTATGGGTCTCTGTGTGGTGAGTCTACGGGTCTCTGTGTGGTGAGTCTGTGGGTCTTTGTGTGGTGAGTCTATGGGTCTCTGTGTGCTGAGTCTATGGGTCTCTGTGTGCTGAGTCTATGGGTCTCTGCGTGGTGAGTCTGTGGGTCTCTGTGTGGTGAGTCTGTGGGCCTCTGTGTGGTGAGTCTACGGGTCTCTCTGTGTGGCGAGTCTATGGGTCTCTGTGTGGTGAGTCTATGGGTCTCTGTGTGGTGAGTCTGCGGGCCTCTCTGTGTGGTGAGTCTATGGGACTCTCTGTGTGGTGAGTCTATGGGTCTCTGTGTGGTGAGTCTATGGGTCTCCGTGTGGTGAGTCTATGGGTCTCTGTGTGGTGAGTCTATGGGTCTCTGTGTGGTGAGTCTATGGGTCTCTGTGTGAGTATATGGGTGTCTGTGTGGTGAGTCTATGGGTCTCTGTGTGGTGAGTCTACGGGTCTCTGTGTGGTGAGTCTGTGGGTCTTTGTGTGGTGAGTCTATGGGTCTCTGTGTGCTGAGTCTATGGGTCTCTGTGTGCTGAGTCTATGGGTCTCTGCGTGGTGAGTCTGTGGGTCTCTGTGTGGTGAGTCTGTGGGCCTCTGTGTGGTGAGTCTACGGGTCTCTCTGTGTGGCGAGTCTATGGGTCTCTGTGTGGTGAGTCTATGGGTCTCTGTGTGGTGAGTCTGCGGGTCTCTCTGTGTGGTGAGTCTATGGGACTCTCTGTGTGGTGAGTCTATGGGTCTCTGTGTGGTGAGTCTATGGGTCTCCGTGTGGTGAGTCTATGGGTCTCTGTGTGGTGAGTCTATGGGTCTCTGTGTGGTGAGTCTATGGGTCTCTGTGTGGTGAGTCTATGGGTCTCTGTGTGGTGAGTCTATGGGTCTCCGTGTGGTGAGTCTATGGGTCTCTGTGTGGTGAGTCTATGGGTCTCTGTGTGGTGAGTCTATGGGTCTCTGTGTGGTGAGTCTATGGGTCTCTGTGTGAGTATATGGGTCTCTGTGTGGTGAGTCTATGGGTCTCTGTGTGGTGAGTCTATGGGTCTCTGTGTGGTGAGTCTATGTATGTGTGTGCGTTGAACTTCTTTCACACCGAATGTAGCCAACCGCGCTAATCGGAGGTGCGGGGAAAAGGACAACAAGCATGTGGTTGAGCGAGTGGGTGAGTAGTTGAGTGAGTGGTTGAGCGAGTGAGTAGTTGAGTGAGTGAGTGAGTAGTTGAGTGAGTGGTTAAGTAGTCAAGTGAGTGAGTGGTTGAGTGGTTCACTTAGTAAACGGGTGGGTGAGTGAGTGAGTGAGTTCGGTGGGTGGGTGAGTGGTCGGGTGAGTGGAAAGGTGGTTGAGTGAGTTGGTGGCTGGGTGGGTGAGTGGTCAGGTGAGTGGAGGGGTGGTTGAGTGAGTTGGTGGGTGGGTGAGTGGTCGGTCGAGTGGATGAGTGATTGAGTGAGTGAGTTGGTGGGTGAGTGAGCGGTCGGGTGAGTGGATGGATGGTTGAGTGAGTTGGTGGGTGGTCGGGTGAGTGGGTCAGAGAGCGAGCGAGTCATCAGGTGGCTGGGTGGGTGAGCGGTCGGGTGAGTGGATGGGTGGTTGAGTGAGTGAGTTGATGAGTGGCTGAGTGGTCGGTCGAGTGGATGGGTGGTTGAGTGAGTGAGTTGGTGGGTGGGTGAGCGGTCGGGTGAGTGGATGGATGGTTGAGTGAGTTGGTGGGTGGTCGGGTGAATGGGTCAGAGAGCGAGCGAGTCATCAGGTGGCTGGGTGGGTGAGCGGTCGGGTGAGTGGATGGGTGGTTGAGTGAGTGAGTTGGTGAGTGGCTGAGTGGTCGGTCGAGTGGATGGGTGGTTGAGTGAGTGAGTTGGTGGGTGGGTGAGCGGTTGGGTGAGTTAACGGGTGGTTGAGTGAGTTGGTGGGTGGGTGGTCGAGTGAGTGGGTGAGAGAGCGAGCGAGTCATTAGGTGGCTGGGGGAGTGAGTGGTCAAGTGATTGGATGGGTGGTTGAGTGAGTTGGTGGGTGGGTGAGTGGTCAGATGAGTGAACGGGTGGTTGAGTGAGTTGGTGGGTGGGTGAGTGGTCGGTCGAGTGGATGGGTGGTTGAGTGAGTTGGTGGGTGAGTGGTCGGATGAGTGAACGGGTGGTTGAGTGAGCGAGTTGGTGAGTGGGTGGGTGGCTGGTCAAGTGAGTGGACGGGTGGTTGAGTGAGTTGGTGGGTGGGTGGGAGAGTGGTCAGGCGAGTGGATGGGTGGTTGAGTGAGTGAGGTGGTGGGTGGGTGGGTGGGTGGACGGGTGTTTAAGTGAACGAGTTGGTGAGTGGGTGAGTGGTCGGGTGAGTGGACGGGTGGTTTATTGAGTTGGTGGGTGGGTGGGCGGGCGAGTGAGTGAACACCACTGCGCCCATCTGTAAAACAGCAGAAGCAGCAGCCAGCCTCTTCCCTTTTATATGCCAACGAAGGCGGCCAATATGAAACAGCACTCAATGATTAATTTATTATAACCCCCCCTCACCCCCCTTCCGCCAGTGTCTGGATGGAACACAAGGGCCAGTTGAGCCAGCAACCCCAGCCAAGGAATGCCAAATATTCGCAGGAGCTGAGTTACCCCATTGTGACGTCACGGGCCGCCCACCAACCACCCCACATCCCCCCCCCCACCCACCTCACCCTGGCCACCAAGAGCAGCTGGGGAAGCGAGAATTGCCAGGGACCTACCCCCCCCCCCCCCCCCCCCCCGCTAGGCGCACCCAAAATGGCACGCAAACAGTAATTGATGCCACCACCACCGTCACCGCCACCACCACAGCCAACAACTGCCATCGCCACAACCGCGGCCACCACCACTACCACCAACCAACCACCGTCACCGCCACCACCACAGACAACAACTGCCATCGCCACAACCGCGGCCACCACCACTACCACCAACCAACCACCGTCACCGCCACCACCACAGCCAACAATTGCCATCGCCACAACCGCGGCCACCACCACTACCACCAACCAACCACCGTCACCGCCACCACCACAGACAACAACTGCCATCGCCACAACCGCGGCCACCACCACTACCACCAACCAACCACCGTCACCGCCACCACCACAGCCAACAACTGCCATCGCCACAACCGCGGCCACCACCACTACCACCAACCAACCACCGTCACCGCCACCACCACAGCCAACAACTGCCATCGCCACAACCGCGGCCACCACCACTACCACCAACCAACCAACCACTACCACCGCTGCCGCCACGGCCGCAGCCAGCCACTGCCATCACCACCACCACCACTCACATGACCACCACCACCACCACCACCGTTGCTGTTGTTGCTGCTGGTGGTTGTGACGGCAGTGGTGGTGGTGATAGTGGTGGTGGAAGTGGCCCCATCCCAACGCTCATCCAAACTCATGGGACTAACCCCTAAACTCATTCTAACCCTAACCCCTAACCTCACCATAACTCACGGGACTAACCCCTAACCTCATCTTAACCCATGGGACTAACCCCTAAACTCATGCTACCCTAACCCCTAACCTCACCCTAACTCACGGGACTAACCCCTAAACTCATGCAACCCTAACCCCTAATCTCACCCTAACTCACGGGACTAACCCCTAAACTTATTCTAACCCGAACCTCTAACCTCATTCTAACTCACGGGCCAACCCCTAACCTGATCCTAGCCCTAACCCCTAACCTCATCCTAACTCATGGGCATGACCTCTAACCTCATCCTAACTCATGGGCCTAACATCTAACCTCATCCTAACTCATGGGCATAACCCCTAACCTCATCCTAGCCCTAACCTCTAACCTCATCTTAACTTGTAGACCTTACCCCTAAACTCATCCCAACTCATGGGCCTAAACCCCCACCTCATCCCAACTCATGGGCCTAACCCCTAACCTCATGCAACCCTAACCCGTAACCTCACCCTAACTCACGGGACTAACCCCTGAACTCATGTAACCCTAACCCCTAACCTCACCCTAACTCACAGGACTAACCCCTAAACTAGTCCAACCCTAACCCCAATCTCACCATAACTCACGGGACTAACCCCTAAACTCATGTAACCCTAACCCCTAATCTCACCCTAACTCACGGGACTAACCCCTAAACTCATTCTAAACCGAACCTCTAACCTCATTCTAACTCATGGGCCAACCCCTAACCTGATCCTAGCCCTAACCCCTAACCTCATCCTAACAGCCTAACTCATGGGCCTAACATCTAACCTCATCCTAACTCATGCGCATAACCCCTAACCTCATCCTAGCCCTAACCTCTAACCTCATCTTAACTCGTAGACCTTACCCCTAAACTCATCCCAACTCATGGGTCTAACCCCTAACCTCATCCTAACCCCTAACCCCTAATCTCACCGTAACTTATGGAACTAACCCCTAAACTCATGCTAACCCCTAACCCCTAATCTCACCCTAACTCACGGGACTAACCCCTAAACTCATGCTAACCTCTAATCTCACCATGACTCATGGAACTAACCCCTAAACTCATGCAACCCTAACCCCTAATCTCACCATAACTCATGGGACTAACCCCTAAACTAGTTCAACCCTAACCCCTAATCTCACCATAACACATGGGACTAACCCCTAAACTCATGCAACCCTAACCCCTAATCTCACCCTAACTCATGGGACTAACCCCTAAACTCATCCAACCCTAATCCCTAACCTCATTAACTCACGGGAATAACCTCTAACCTCATCTTAACTCGTGGACATAACCTCTAATCTCATCTTAACTCGTGGACATAACCTCTAACCTCATCATAACTCGTGGGCATAACCTCTAACCTCATCTCAACTCGTGGGCATAACCACTAACCTCACCTTAACTCGTGGGCCTAAACCCCCACCTCATCCCAACTCATGGGCCTAACCCCTAAACTCATGCTAAACTCACGGGCCTAACATCTAACCTCATCCCAACTCATGGGTCTAACCCCTAACCTCATCCTAACCCCTAACCCTTAACCTCATCCAAACTCACGGGCCTAACATCTAACCTCATCCCAACTCATGGGTCTAACCCAGGGGTCGGGAACCTATGGCTCGCGAGCCAGATGTGGCTCTTTTGATGATTGCATATGGCTCGCAGATAAAACAAAATATTCTCACTTGTTTTAATCCATCCATCGATTTTTCACTGCGCATGTCCTGTTCAGGGCTGCAGGAGCAATTGCCCATTATTTTAATTGGATGATACTGGCCTACGTTTGCCGTTGCTGGGTAAAACAGGTAAACGCCCCCTTTTGAATCAGTCTGAGACTGCGTCTGCTCGGTCATTAGCTCAAAGCTAACCCTTCGACGAAGAAGATGGCGAAAAGAAAAAAAGACGACGAGTATCGTACATTTCAGGACGAATGGACCGAAGAATTCGCCTTTGTGGAGAGAGCGGGTTCTGCGGTGTGTCTAATTTGCAATGACAAAATTACATCGTTGAAACGGTCGAATGTAAAGCGGCACTTCGACACGCGCCACGCTACCTTTGCATCAAAATACCCTGCGGGAGACAGCAGAAAGAAAGCGTGCCAAGAGCTTCTGAGCAGGGTGCAAGCTAGCCAGCAGCAACTCCGCGTATGGACCCGGCAAGGTGACTATAATTCGGCTAGCTTTGCTGGTTCTTTAGCAATAGTGAGGAACGGAAAACCATTCACAGATGGCGAGTATGCTAAAACGTTCATGCTGGATGTACCCAATGAACTTTTTGATGATCTTCCGAACAAAGACAAGATAATCAAACGGATACAAGACATGCCTCTGTCGGCAAGAACTGTTCATGATCGTACCATCGTGATGGCAAACAAAGTGGAGGAAACGCAAGTGAAGGACATAAATGCAGCGCCGTTCTTTTCTCTGGCTTTGGATGAGTCAACAGACGTGAGCCATTTGTCGCAGTTCAGCGTGATTGCAAGATATGCTGTTGGTGACACACTGCGCGAAGAAAGTCTTGCTGTTCTGCCATTAAAAGGGTCCACAAGAGGTGAGGATTTATTCAAGTCTTTCATGGAGTTTGCTCAAGAAAAAAGTCTACCTATGGATAAACTTCTCTCAGTGTGTACTGATGGTGCTCCGTGTATGGTGGGGAAAAACAAAGGATTTGTGGCGCTTCTCCGTGAACATGAAAATAGACCCATCCTAAGTTTCCATTGCATTATACACCAGGAGGCACTTTGTGCTCAGATGTGTGACAGGCAGTTTGGCGAAGTGATGTCACTGGTCATTCGTGTGATCAACTTTATTGTTGCCCGAGCCTTAAATGATCGCCAGTTTAAAACACTGCTGGATGAAGTTGTAAATAACTATCCTGGTCTGCTTTTGCACAGCAATGTGCGTTGGTTGTCAAGAGGGAAGGTGCTTAGCCGTTTTGCGGCTTGCCTGAACGAAATCCGGACTTTCCTTGAAATGAAAGGCGTCGGGCATCCTGAGCTAGCCGACACCGAGTGGCTCCTCAAGTTTTACTATCTCGTAGATCTGACTGAACATCTGAACCAGCTCAACGTGAAAATGCAAGGCATTGGAAATACAGTGTTATCCCTTCAACAAGCTGTATTTGCTTTTGAAAACAAGCTGGAGCTTTTCATCACGGATCTTGAAACAGGTCGTTTACTACATTTTGAAAAACTGAGCCAATTTAAAGATGCATGCACAGCAAGTGAGCCCATTCAAAACCTTGATCTCCACCAGCTAGCTGGCTGCACATCCAGTCTCCTACAGTCCTTCAAAGCACGCTTTGGAGAATTTCGTGAGCACACTCGTCTTTTTAAGTTCATCACCCATCCAAACGAGTGTTCACTGAACACAGCCGACCTGAATTACATCCCTGGTGTCTCCGTCAGAGATTTTGAAGCAGAAGTGGCTGACCTGAAGGCCTCAGACATGTGGGTGAATAAGTTCAAGTCACTGAATGAAGATTTGGAAAGAATCACACGACAGAAAGCGGAGTTGGCGAGCAAGCACATGTGGACAGAAATGAAAAAACTCCAACCCGAAGACCAGCTGATTCTCAAAACTTGGAACGCGCTTCCTGTCACATACCACACACTGCAGCGTGTGAGTATTGCTGTATTGACCATGTTTGGATCTACGTATGCATGTGAGCAGTCATTCTCACATCTTAAAAACATCAAGTCCAACCTACGATCACGTTTAACGGATGAAAGCCTCAACGCTTGCATGAAGCTTAACCTCACCAAGTACCAACCCGACTACAAAGTACCAACCCGACTACAAAGACATCAGCAAATCCATGCAGCACCAGAAGTCGCATTAATGGTGAGTGTTATAACAACATTATTTAAAATAATAAATTCAGAGGCTTATTATACTGACATTTAGTTGAATTCACTTTTAAAATATATTATATGGCTCTCACTGAAATAAATTTCCAAATTTTTTGCTTTCATGGCTCTCTTAGTCAAAAAGGTTCCCGACCCCTGGTCTAACCCCTAACCTCATCCTAACCCCTAACCCCTAACCTCATCCTCACTCCCACACCCTAAACCTAACCTCCAACCTCATCCCAACTCGTGGGCCTGAACCCCCCGAACCTGATCCCCGCCCCTAAACCTTACCGACCTCGTCCTGACTCACCTGGCGCCCAGGTGGTGTGGCGGCAGCGTCTCCTGCGCCTGCTGCATCTGGTAGATGTAGAGCGCCAGCAGGTGAGCGGCGCTGAACAGCGCCAGGCCCACGTTGAGGACGTGGAGGGCGCGCTGGGAGAAGTGGCGGCAGCAGGCCCACCACGAGCCCAGGCCGAGGAAGGCAGCGAAGTACACCACAGAGGTGAGCGACGGCAGCGAGACCCCTGCACGGGGCGACGGTGGTGGAGGGGGAAGGGCCGGAGGGAGGCAGACCACGGAATATGTGAGCGACGGCAGCGAGACTCCCTGTATCGGGTGAGCTGTGCGGAGGGTCAAACAGGCACGGGATAGACAGCGTCCTGATGGTGGCGACGGTGATGTCCTCCGGCGACGGGGATGCCCTCTGGCCCACACATTATTTCAACGTCGATTTCGACCACGCGGTTCGTGAAGCCTTCGACGGCTGCACCGGAGGAATTTCCGTCGGGTACGGATACAATGGGAGGCTGATCGATGCCCGGGTTCGGTCAAGGGATGGCTCCCGATTGCTCAACCACGTTATGTATGCCGATGATTTTATGGTGATCGCTGCTCACTCACAGGAGGAGTTGGAGGCGCTGCTGTTGAACCTGGAACTTTCCACTAAGAAGTGGGGCCTTACTATCAGCCCCACCAAAACTAAGCACCTAGTTGGTGATGGGGCAGTTGTGGAGAGAGTGGAGAGTTTCCCATACCTGGGCAGTGTGCTTATGACCAGCTCCGGTTTAACAGCAGAGGTCTCACTTCGAATCAGTCGAGCGACATTATCTTTTCATCAGTTGCGTAACGCTGTCTGGAAGCTACCTGGTCTGTCGCTTCGCACAAAGCTTCAGGTCTTCTCGGCCACGGTCATTCCCTCCCTTCTCTACGCTTGCGAAACGTGGACCCCCGTAATGGAACATCTTTGCCGGTTAGAAACATTTAGACTGGCCTGCCTACGATCCATCCTGGGTTTAACCAGGATGGATTGTGTGAGGAGCTCACAAATCCTTGAAAGATCTGGGCAAGGTCCCATCGGTGAGCTCTTCCGGCAGGCAAGGCTGCGTTGGCTGGGCCATGTAGCCCGCATGCCCAGCCACCGCATGTCTAAACAGCTTTTGTTTGGCCGGATCGAGGGGGCTAAACGGGCGCGGCACGGGCTAGAGAAGAGATGGAGTGATGTGGTACAGGAGGACGTGGATCTGAGTGGACTTGCCGATGACTGGTACCAGCGGTGTCAAGATCGGCCTCTGTGGAGGAGGCTCGTGAAGGACGCTACTGGGCAGTTGGAGGCAGTCGCCCTCCAACAACCACGGAGGGCAGAGGAGCGGCGCTCACAACAACGAGCGGAGCGCCGGGTGGCTAAAGCACAGCAGGTTGGCACAGTAGGGGGCACAAGTGGTGCATCAGCCAGTCATCTCAGTCAGTCGACCCGTGGCACCTGCTGGGTCTGCCCCGTGACCTCCTGCCAGCGGGCGTTCGACACTTCACGTGGCCTCAAGGTGCACATAGCCTGGCACAAGCGTCGTGGTGACATCACCGCCACTTAGTGGCGAATGGCGGTTGTTGTTGATGGTGATGATGACGACGTTGATGACGACGAAGATGACGACGACGACGACGACGACGATGATGATGACAATGACGAAGAAGATTGATGACGATGATGGTGATGATGACGACGATGATGACGACGATGACAACGACGATGACAACGATGATGACGACAACGATGAAGGCAATGATGAAGAGAACGACGACGATGACGACGACGATGACGACGACGACGATGATGATGATGAAGAAAACGATGATGATGACAATGATGACGATGATGACGATGATGACGACGATGATGACGATGATGGTGACGACGATGATGATGATGACGATGATGACAACGACGATGACGACGATGAAGACAACGATGACGACGACGTTGACAACAACGATGACATCGTTGACGACAACGATGATGCCAACGACGCCGTAACGCGGCGGCGGCGGCGGCGGCTCCTCACCGGCGAGCCCCAGCAAGACGGTGGCCACCACCTGGCCGCCCGTCGTGATGACGTCGCCAACAAACTCCTTGATGCGCGACGCCGCCGCGGCCATCTTGGTGAACAGGCGGGCGCGGCCGGGCGTTGCCGCTTCGCCCGCCCCCTCCGTCTCATCCTCATCATCCTCCTCATCCTCGTCGTCGTCCTCCGTGACGAGGTGGTTGTCTTCGTCGTCATCGACTTCGTTCCGACGCTCCGACAGCGACGTTTCTCTCTTTGGAAAAGACAAGGTGGGTGGGTGGGGGGTGACCATTACCATGACGATGACCATGACGATCACCATGACGATCACCATGACGATGACCATTACCATGACGATCACCATGACGATGACCATGACGATGAACATGACCATGACGATGAACATGACGATGACCATGACGGTGACCATGACGATCACCATGGTGATCACCATGGTGATCGTCATGGTGATCACCATGGTGATCACCATGACGATGACCGTGACGATCACCATGACGATGAACATGACGATGACCATGACGGTGACCATGACGATCACCATGGTGATCACCATGGTGATCGTCATGGTGA